CTCCAAGCACAAGACAAAGATTATAGAGTGAAAAACATCTTCAAGGGCCAAAGGGCTTAAGGAAAAGGCAGCAGCAGGAGACAATCAGGAGGAGACAGAGTGCGCGCCCCCTTGTGGATGGCACCATGCAAGGCAGGCCGGGGAGCGCAGGAGCCAAGGAGCAGGAGGAGCTTCATGTGGCCCAGAGACCCTGGCACCTGGTGGCCAACTCCTTCTACCCAGAGCCCCCACTCACAGAGGAACAGGAAGCCAAGCCGCCTCTTCCTTGAAGAAGCACATCACGGATGGGTCACCTACTGCAGCCCTTGCAAAGTCCCTCCCTGAGCTCAAAAACAAATGGTTAAAAGACACCATGCTTACATTAGAAAACCCAAAGGTAGAGTCAAAAAGAGGCAACAGAACCAAGCTCATATTCCAGAGTGAATTCCTGCTTACGTAAAATTGATCCTCATCCTGTCTTCAGAACCGTCAAAGTCAAACTGAGATTAACATGCAGGAGAAAAATTCCCTGAGCACAAAAATGTCAGTAAGGGGCCTCAATTCCTTGTACTACAGAGTCTCATCGACTTACCTCCCTAAGCCTCTCCCTCTGCTGGAAAGTTTTCCTCCCAAGGTCTGAGGAAAGTGCTTCTTCAGAAGTGGTTGCTCTTCCAGAACCTGATAAATAAGATGTTTCTAAAACAGCAGTGCTGCAGGAAACAATTTAGGAACCTCTGGTAGACAGCAGGGCTCTGCAAGTGGAAATACTCATTGGCTAGGTGAGCGGGTGTAGATCAGTGTTGTTTGGCTTGTTTTTGCAAGCAACACTGCTTTATTCTGAGCCTGGGAGTTTGTGGTTTCAAAGCCGGGGATAGCTGCTCGGCTCCTCTGATGGAGTGGAAGGCTCTTCCACTCATAGAAAGTCCAGCTCTGAACCTGCTCTGAGACTTGAGCTTCTCCATGGGCAAAACCCAGGGGCTTTGAAGTGGTGTTCTGTGCATGAGGGTTATAACCACGGACATTGCAGCTATGGCTGCTCTCTTCCCTGGAGAGCTTGAATACACATCTGTGTCAGGATCGGGGGTATTACCACACTGCTCTGTGAGTACATACAGTGTTGTTTATTGTCCAAAACAGTTTTCCACCTGTTTTATTACCCCTTCTCCCCAACAGGTGGGAAGAACGAACACTTTTAATGGGCTTTCACAGAGGAGAAACATGACAGGGGTGTGAAAGGGTGAGCCAGACACCTGGTCTTCCACCCACCGTTGACTCTCCACGCACTCATGTTCCTTCTTTGTCATGATGTCACCTCCTCCTCTCACTCTCACAGCAGGGTCTGGGAGAGAAGCCCAGCCACACAACAGCACACTTGACCTTCATGCACTTGGAAGCTTTAGGACTTGCGTAAGTCAAGCTGGAAATACTAGAGATGAATGCAAAGATAGTATCTGCAAAGGCAGTTTTTTTTGCTACCACCCCCAGAGAGCTCTCAAAACATTCTGTGTATGCATAACACCTGGCAATCTATGAATCACTCCACCTGCATCCCAGACCCCTGCCCAGATATAAAGAACCAGGGTGGATGTGGTGCAGCAGAGACCAATAAAGGCTGTGTAAATGAAGGTGTCATAAGGACAGGGCAGAGGGAAAGGTACTAAGGAACAGGTGCCAAGGGACTGCCAGAATGCTTTGGCTCTTTGTAAGGGTGCATTTTATGTTTCTCTTTGTGGCTTAACTAATTGGGTCCCAAAAGCAATCCCCCTAAAGCCCCCAAATGATAAACCTATATTCCTTGTATGGCAACTCTTACAGTTGGCAGTGCAGGTAACTTTCTCTTAGGAGTAGGCTTAGGACCTCATCTAACTCCTGAGTTTTGGTCTTCCCACTCCCTTAAAATGTCATGTGAGCTGTCCAATGCACTCACAACCCCAGCAGAGCCTGGCATACTCTGGAATATGGGTTAGGTTTTTCTGCCTTTGAAGAAAGGATGCTGGCCCAAGCTCAAGGTCTTCTACTTATGAACCAATGTCAAGAAGCAAATTCTGCTCAAGAGCTTCCCCCACAGCCAGATGAGCTGGATAGGGATGAGAATGTTTTTCTACAATCAATTGGAAAGTAAGCATCTCCAGTGATTTCCAGTATTTGTGCCACCTTTGGAGCCTCAGAGTTCAAGGTCAACCAAATTTGTTTCACCTCCCAACCTGGAGCAGGATTGCACAATATGAAAAACTTGCCCATCTGGCTGTCTGGACTCCAGAACAAGTCCTGAATATTCTAAATGACTGTATTGTCTATCCTGAATCGTCACCTGTGGAATTAGAGGAGCACAACCAGGTGAGCTCCTGGAGCCCTTTGATGGGGCAGAACCATCTGCACTGCAGCCAGAGGACATACCTCAAAGCCCCGAGACTCTTGAGCAGGGCCAGCTCTCTTTGCTCCAGAAAGAAGGCCTAGCCCAGGTTCCACAGCCTCTCAAGGAGACTACACCTTCTCCAGTGCTGCAGGGATCTCCAGATCTCTGCTGCTGAAGAAGCTGTCCGGCAGCTTGTTCAAAACGAGATCAGTGTTCCACGTCCACTGCTGCCTTCAACCTTGTCCAGCATCACAGGGAGACCTACAGATGTGACGCTTACAATCACGCTACAGCCAGGCAGTGAAGTGCAAAGTACTCTGGGCCAGCTGCAGGCCCCAGTTCAGCCTGCAGGGATCTTGGAAGAGGAATCCCCTCCCTCAATCCCACAAGAGGCTCCAGCTCAGACTCCAGGCCCTTCTGTAGATACAGAGGCTTTTATCAGGAAGCAAGAGGAGTCTGCTCGGTATGCTGAGCCTTCAGTGGAGGTGAAACCTTCTCTAGGCCAGCAGGTGGCCCCAATTCCTCCTGCTCCAGGCCCATCTGTGGGAACAGAATCTTTTCCAGGCCACCAGGTGACCCCAGCTCAGACTCTGCGTCCTTCTGTGGAGGTCACATCTCCTCCCACCCAGCTGGAGCAGCCAACTCAGGATACTGAGCCTTCGTTGGAGGCAGAACCTTCTCCAGGCCAGCAGGAACAGAAAGCTGTTGAAGAGGTTGAGTCTATATCTTCGCCGGAGGTGGTACCTCAGGAAGAGGAACCCTCATCTGAGGAAATCAGACTGTCTCCAGCCCAGCAGGAAGCCCCAGCTCCGGTGTCAGAGACCAAAGAAGTGAAACCTCCACCTGCAGAGTCTCATGAGGCGACAGTTCCTCATGAAGGTCAGTCTCCAACATTGCCGAGTGTGTCTGTTAACCCTGCAGAGACCATGACCGTGGCTATAACTTCAAGCCAACAGGAAGTTGCAGCTCAGGCCTCGGGGAACAATGAGCTGGACCTGACACTCCTGAAAGGAGGTGACCACTCAACAGTTTCCACAAGTGTGGATAAGTCAGTAGATCCTAAGGTCACCTTCACTTCACCTTCAGAGGTTGAGCCTTACCCAGCCTTACCTTCTTTAGCTGAGCCAGAGGCCATGGATGAGACTGCAGCTTCCCCCAAGGAGATAGAGCCTATCCCTACAGGATGGGAATCTCCAGCTGAACCCCTGGAGACCCTTCACGTCACCCTTCCATCTCCACCACGGCTGAAAGTGTCCGCTCAACATCCGGAAATGACTGTGGGTTCCAAAAGCCAACCCCGAGTATACCACCAGACTCCACCTCCTACTCTGGAGGATTTCCTTATATCAAATACAGAGGAGCCCCTAACCCAACCTCGAGAGCCACCTCAAAAATTTTACCTCCATTAAAAGGGCATGAGGAGGCAACAGTCCTCAAACCAGCTCAGGAATAGGCTCCGTATCTAATATTACCCAGGGTCACCTTTCAGCCTTTGAAGTTGGAGCTGAACATAACTCCAGGACCCAGTGTGGAGGCTGAATATTCTTTTTTTTTTTTTTTTTTAAAGATTTATTTTTATTATTTTTTATTGGAAAGGCGGATATACAGAGAGGAGAGAGACAGAGAGGAAGATCTTCCGTCCGATGATTCACTCCCCAAGTGAGTGCAACGGCCGATGCTATGCCGATCCGAAGCCAGGAGCCTCTTCCGGGTCTCCCACGCGGGTGCAGGGTCCCAAAGCTTTGGGCTGTCCTCGACTGCCTTCCCGGGCCACAGGCAGGGAGCTGGAAGGGAAGCGGGGCTGCCGGGATTAGAACCGGCGCCCATATGGGATCCCGGGCATGCAAGGTGAGGACCTTAACCACTTGCGCCACCGCGCCGGGCCCAAGGCTGAATATTCTATAGCTCTGAAGACCACAACACCTCTGGACTCAGAGATTTTGTCCAGTCCAGGTCCAGACTTGCCACGCAATCCTGCCTAAAGTCTCAGTTGCACACTGGGACTTGGGAAATACCCCAGCTCCAGAACCCAATTCAGAGGTTGACCAGGCTCCAACCACTCAGGAGACCCCTGTGCAGCTTACAGAACCATCTACAGAGGTGGGAGCTCAACCTCCAGTGTTGCAAGAGGTGGCCGTTCCAATGCCAACTCCACCTCAACCTCCAGTGACACCCAGTGTCACAGATCAGACCTTGAACCTACCACCTACCAATGATCCAGACCCACTGCAGAGGCTGAGCATGCAATTGCCCTGAAAGAGCCTACAGGAACGAGTCCAGACAGAATTCTGACTCTGTTTCACTTATGTCCTCCTTGCCTGGTGGGTCAGGCGCTGTTCAATTTGCATGGGAAGAGGCACTGAAGCTCTTGGTCCTACATGAGGTGCCTAACACATCAGCCCCTTGACTCGGAACAGGGTCCCAGCCATTATGGCGATTTCCTCCCAACATGAAGCTTCTGCCCCTCCTCTTCTTGGCTGCATGAAGTCAAACCTTACCATGCTGAGTGGAGCTCAACTGTGAGCTGACATGCAGGTACAGTGGCTAAGCATTTAGCCACTTTTTTTTTTATTATTGAAGGGAGCAGCCCCTGGAGTCCAGGCAGGCCACAGGGCACGAGGCTTCAACATCCAAATATCCAGGCAACCTGGAAGACCTCAGAGGGGCCAGTGTGGCAGGTCCTCTGTGGTAAATGACTGGTTCTTAATAAGCCAGGGGAGAAGGCACTGGAATGCCCGGTGTTTGACATGTTCATGTCCTAGAACCTGACTGTTGGGGGCATGTGGTGGGACCCCTGTTCGTCCTGTGCCCATGGTGCCGCCACGGGAGGATTTTTCTACCTCGGAGGCTTCTAGATGCAGACCAGCCTTTCTTGCCTGTGGCCTTGTGATTTGTATAAAACTTAGACTTTCATTTCTTATCATCTTGGCTGGGATGGCTTATGAATACCACACACACGAATATTAGAAGGGAAGTGCTTTTATAAATGGAGGCAGCCCCAGCAAAAGGGCTTACTCGGTGAGCACCTCCTCAGGGGCTTCGCTTTCTCCTTCGGCAGTCGACTCAGCGGCCGCCATCTCGCCCGGGCCTTCGCTCATGCTGTGGGGAACAGAACAGGCCACTTTTCCTCTCTGCCCGCCCCGTTTGCTCCCGTTAGGTAACGTGGGGAAGGCAGTCTGTCATTTACCTTGCCCCTCTCACGAAGATTGCTTCCTCGTCAGAGGTTTCATTGAATAATTTTTTACCAAATTCATTCTGGCTCATTGCCCGGCGGGGTTTGCGCTCACCCCTCAGCCAGCGCAGCCACCTCACCAAGAAGCCCACCTAGGAAAATGCAGGAGGTTTAGCACCCTTAGGAATGGGGAGGGGAATGCATGTTTTGCCCCTACTCCCACCATCCCTCCCTCCAGCGACACACTGTGTCCCCCAGTTTACCTGCTTCTTCTCCCGTCTTTCCTTGAGGGAATCTTCGTAAAGGTCCCTGGGGGAAAACAAATGCCCAAGCCAATCAGAGACTGGTGTCACTCTCCATGGCCCGCACATGTCTGGTGTGCCCGGGACAAAACGTGTCCCTGTCCCACATATACCACAAAGCAAAATCACCACAGACCTGGGATCTGGGCTTCTGGGAGCTCTCCGATCTGCCTGAAGGTGCCCCAGTGGCTAAGGGCCAACTTGAACCACTGCTTTGTGTGAGGTCGTCAGCCCCAACCACTGCCTTCCCCAAGCGCCCTTGTGCAGTGACAGACCGCACAACCACATGGGGCACGTGCACTGTCTCCCTCCTTTAGCATCTGGCACCAGCCCCACCTGGACTGAGTCTCACATGCCTCCTTCACCTGGGGGTGAGGGAGAAGGTGCCTCTATGTGCACAGTCCTTGACCCCTGTAAACTGAATCACATCAGGCAGGGCCTGAGTCTGACAGCAGTTACCTAGCTCATGCAGCCTCACACTGCAGGTGTCACTGATGGGAGAGTGATGAGTGAAATTAGTTAAAGGATGAGGCTCGCACTGACACCAAGATACCCCTTATGAATCCAGCAGAACAGGAGAGTGCATTGTTTTCAGCAACTGTGCCTGTGTGGTACATGGGTGCTGATTTCTGACAGAAAACGTAGCTCACAGCCCCAAACCCTTACAAGCCAGGGAGGAGCCCCAGCTGGGAAGAGACCCTCCTCTGATGTTAACAGTATGACCCTGGGGCCAAGATGCTGCCTCTTTCTCGTTTCCTTGTCATACAATGAAGAGACAGACTTCTCTTTAGTTTGAAGATCTCTTCCAGTTAAAGCTCTTAGAAGCTTGGTTAGAAGAGAGAAGACATGACCAGTGTGATGGCTCATTGGCTAAATCCTCGACTTGCATTTGCGGGGATTCCAGATGGGTACAAGTTTGTGTCCTGGCAGCTCCACTTCCCATCCAGCTCGCTGCCTGTGGCCTGGGAATGCAGTGGAGGATGGCCCAAGGTCTTGGGACCCTGTACCTTCACGGGAGACCCATAAGATCCTTCTCTGTTTCTCCTTCTCTTTGTAAATCTGTCTTTCTAATAAAAATAGAGTAAATCTTAAAGAAAAACAGATTAAAAAAAATAAAGACAAGCAGGATGAGAAGAACTTTTCCTGCCTTCTTTAAGGAGACCAGCTCCTCCCACAGTGCAACACAGACTCCCCTAGCCCTTGCTGGAAGCCTTCAGGAAGCCCTCTGGTATGGTCAAAGTACTGTCAGCTGCAGGGATGGCACAGCTGGAGTCCCTCCCCAGCCCCTGCATCCAAGAAGGACTGGGGACAGCAGAGGTGCCATGGTGGTGCTGTCTACCCCAGCTGTGAAGTATGCTTCCTGTCTGTGGAGATCTCACTAAACAATGAGGTGACTGGAATCCATGTGTTCTCTTCTAGTTCTCGAGTTTCATTTCACACATTACTGGGCTGGTACTTACCTTAGACCTTTTCCTATGTCCTCCTCCTCGGCGTCGGCTCTTGCCCTGTGAGAGTAAATCTGTTTTGGAAGAAGACACAGCCATTATTATGCAACACAGTGACCACCATGTCCAGATCATTTGCATGCCTTTCTTTTTGTATGCATCTGGCGCCTAATACATTTTACTGGCTGTTTAGATAACTTTCAGCAGACAATTCTCCATGAAACCTCTTTGAAGAGGAAAAGATGAAGCATCTTTAATTGGATCAGAAAAGTAAACAGAGAAGTCAAGGAGACTTGGCCTTCTTAGTAGGATTGCTACTATTTACCACTGTTGAGGAGGCCCTAAAATAGGGACTAGTGCAATGGTGTTTAGGTTTAGTTCTACCTGTAGTGCAGTATCCCATTTGTGCAATGGCTCGAGTCCCAGCTGCTGTACTTCTGATTCAGCTGTCAGCCAACAGCCTGAGTAAAGCAGCAGAGGATGATCCAAGTGCTTGGGCTCCTGTGCCTGTGTGGGAGACCCACAGCAACTCCAGGCTCCTGACTTCAGACTAGTTCTGGCTGTTGCAGACATTTAGAGTGAACCAATGGGTGGAACAGCACTGTCTCTCCAATAAGAATAGGTAAATCTTGAGTATCAATTTTTCAAAAAGACAAATACAGTATTGTGTCACAAAGGAAGACAAAACAGATGTCATCTGAATGTGAAATGATGGACAACTCGGAAAACCCAAGAAAATCAACTACCATTTTTGTGGAAAGTAATATGCGAGTCCAGAAAGTTGGCCAGACACCAGGTCAAGAGATCAACATACATGCTGTGGTAGCTTTCCTGTGTGCTGCCAACAACTAATGGGAAAACGCAAGAAGGGTCCCGTTTGTAACCAACAGAAAGGATTAAAGCTTATCCTGGAATAAGCTCAACAAAAGATGTGTAAGATTGTGTAATGAAAACACTAAAGCCCTTTTGAAAGCCATGAGACTTGCATTCCTATAATGTTGTGATTATGTCAATTCTCCTCAAATTAATCAATCAAAATAATTCAATTCAGTTTTATACAAATCCGAAGATACATTTTTACAAAACTGACCGGCTGCCATTCAGTGGGGAATGATGGGCAAGAATAGTGCAAGAAACATGAGAGAGCAGGAGCTCGCTCTAACAAATATAAAACTCAGAACTAAGCCATAAAGTGACTGGAGTTTACCTGTGTGATACAGGTATGGGTGGAAGAAAAGACCACAGAGTCGATGGAAAGAGCAGAGTCCAGGTCAGGATATTTTAGATTGGTAAGGAATGAGTGAACTGTTCAAAGAAAAATTATTTTAGAAGATTTAGAAACTCATGTAGAGAAAGATAAGCTAGATTCCCTACTTCAATCATATTGAAAAATAACTCCAGAGGGATTACAAAATAGAAATTAGAACAAAATGTTACAAGAGTCCTAGAAGAAAATATGCTACTACTCTATCAGTTTCAAGAACCTAACAAAACTCAGATCCCATCAGCAAAATGTGAGACTGGCAGGTGCAGGGCTATGTGCTAGCAACTCCCTATCCATCCCAGAGTGTGCCCCCTTCTGTTGGGATGTTAGCTTTTATTTTGCTGTTGTTGGTTTAGAAACCCTTTTTTTTTTTAATACAATAAATATATTAATCTCTTTGGTGGCCTTTTTCTTGTTCAAGTGTTTCCAGTATTTCTCAGTGTGTTTGTAAGGAAGGGAAAGAGAACAAAGGGAATGAGGAATGCATTCTTTGCAGTCAGGAGATCTGAGTCTGACGTTGGCTTTGTCATTTGGGCCCATAGCTTGATTGCCATGACCTGTGAAAGGGGAACTGCTGCAAGGGCTAAGTTGAGAACACAGGGGAGACTCTGCCCCAAGCCTGACCTCCCCAAGTGCTGAGTCAGCTAGCAGTGTCACACACAGGCAGACAAATCTTTCAAAGGTTTCTCCTATGCCACTGGGCTTAGAAAGCTCTTTTCCATCCCAAGACTGAAAAATACTGCTTGAAATTTATTCTCAGTATCTTTTTGTCTTCTTTTTTTAAAGACATTAACTGAAATACATTTAGGATGAGAAGTATCCATCTATCACTGTCTGCCATTCAACCCAAGTTCTTAGGCAGCTAGGCAGCGTTTTCTCAAACTGATTAGGCTAGAGGCAACACTGCAGAAGTTTTAGGAACACACATGTCTATGTATTACTGAACTCTCAACTCTGTATGCTGCTTCAAATGAATATTATATTGCATTCTTCTTCACCGTAAACTTGACATTGTACCTAACTCTGATCCTCTGAACACTTACTATCTTTCTAATACAGGCAAAACTCTGCATACTCCCTGACCTCACAAACCTTCTCATCTAACTGGGGAGAGGAACTCAGGAAAACGTGAATGGATACAAAGAGAAGTAAGCCAGAACTAAACATACACATTAAAATAACGCAGGACTTGATCAAAATTTCAGCCATTTCCCCGAAGGCAAAGACCAGGGGCCACCTGGAGATATCCAGGATACTGTCTCCACCGACCCCTTGGCAGTTGACCCCATGTGGCTCCCAGCTCCAGGGTTCAGAAATCAGACTGTTTTCACAAACAGCAAACTCACTGGAAACAACCTCACCTGATCAGCACCACAGCCTGAGTGAAAAGACAGAACAGCTGTGACTGCATGACCAGGGAGCTGCCTCTGCAGGGGCAGGCCTCCATGGCACACTCAAGCACTATCAGAAGGCAACTTGGGAAGGACAAAGATGCAAAGGAATCAGCTGAACCCAGCGTTTAATGGAAAGGTCTGGAGTGGCCAGATTTGTCCCTCTCCTGCAGAGGCTCAGCCTCACCAGGGGGCTGCCTCCACATCTGCCTGGGGCTGTCCCTCTGCCCTAGTGCAATGTCAGGATGGCCACTAGCATGCTGGTGGGCTCTCATCTTTCTGTGCTCCTGTCACCATCCCCTGCTGTGGCTGGCATGTCTGCCTTTAGAAACAGTGATACACTAGGCGGGTGTTACCGGAGGCCAATAGACCTGGGAAGCTCTTTAGTCCTTATATACCTTTGCTGTACTCCCTCGCGTGTTGACCTTGGCACTTCCCTTTGTGAAAACTGCCACATTTTTAAAGTTCTCAGGGGAGAGGAAATACCTCTCTGTGGTTTCACAGAAACGATGATCCATCTCACAGAAGGTTTAGTCCCAAGAGAGTTGGAGGAGTCAAGGCATGCCATGAAGTGAGGGAATTTTAGGTAGAAAAGGCACAGGTGAAAGTAGGAATGGCCATGGTGTGGCTGGGGTATGGTAAGGGGCCACTCAGGCAGGAACACAGACAGGGCTGACATGACAGGAAGTGTCAGTGAAGTAAACTGGGTTGGACTGCTAGGGTAGAGTCAAGACCGTCAGATCTTTCAATGACTTCATATTCAAGCCCTTTCCTGTTGGGAAAAGTAATGCACTTTATGTAACTGAACAATAGGTGAACAGAGTCAGGCTCCAGGAATGGGATAGGATAAATACAGCACACCTCAGGGTTCAGCTTAGGAAGCAGGATTCAGTTACATTCAGGTACATAAACAACCTGTCTTTAGACCTGCCTTATGTATTAGAACAGGTAGAATCTTTAACATGTTTTCTGGCAGTGTCCTGAGGACAGTAACCATTCTGTGAGGTGAGGGTGCTGATACAGCGCTCATCATTTCAACAACGAGAAGAGAGACCAACAGGAGCAGAGAGGGAAGTGGTAAGCACATCAAACAGTTGACATAGCTGTGGGGAAATCTTGTTATCTATGAAGTCTGGTCTTCCACCTCTCACAATAGCCAGTGGCTTGGCTTGCTACCTAGTTTCCAGTTGCACTGAGATTTCCTGGGAGTAGGGTCTATTCAAAATCTCAAGCATATGCTTTTCAGGAGAGTATGTCTTTGTGACCATAGAAGAACGTCAACTGGCAGTATGTGGGCAAGTGGCTTTGATGTTCACTCTGCATTCAAACCTGTTGTAAAAAAAAAAAAAAAAAGGATGTTCTAGAAACCTAAGTGAATCGTTGTCCTTACCCCAACGAGACAGGCTCCCGTTATTAAGATCATCACAGCTACAGTGACAGATATTGCCATGATGAGTATTTTGTATCTTGGGACTTCTTTGAGCTAAAAGAAAAAGAGCAATGAAAAGAGATCAAATAAAGAGATAGCATGAACACTTAACTATTCCAGCCCGTATTCTTCCAGGTGAGTGGCTTATAGGATCTTCAAGACCACATAAGATCCAAAGTTACATGATCTAATTATCACACGGGTACTCTACAGTTCATCTGGCTTGTCGGGTCTGCTTCATTCTCTAAAGGAGCAAAGTGGGAAATTGCCAGCTTGGCCAAAGTTATGTGCCCAATGCAAGATATGGACTGGGAGCCCCTGTTCCTCCTCCTTGGTGCTTTAATGACACTTCCTAAACGACAGGAAAGGGCAGCTCTCCTGTCTCGTGGCCGTCCTCACCTCACTTGGCTCGATCATTCCTGCATCAGTCTGGCCTCCTGGGCTCTCGCTGATGTAGTCCTCTTCTTTCCAGCGGGCTGTGTCCCATTCTGCCTTGGCCTTCACTTGCTGCTGCTCACTGAGGAGCTTCATGAGGAAGCCCGTTTTGGAGATGAGCTTGGCACAGGACAGCTGCACCTGGGGGTCCGCACAGTCCATCTGCAGAGTCCTGATAACTATTAAAATAAAGTTTCTCACGTCATTATTGGGGATGAGGGACCGAAGCTGCTGGTTCAGTTGGTGCCCTGGGGATGACTGCAAGGGGTAAGTACTGCCTGTAGGCATGGAGGGGATGTCCCTGCCCATGTTAGGGTTCCCCCATTGCATTTTCTCAGTGGGGGCAATCTCAGGGGAACCAGTGGCCAATGGATGCCCCTGGGCTGTGCTGGCAGGGGGAGATTCTTCTGGCACAGTGTTTCCTAAGTTATTTGCTGCAGCAAGGCTGGCTTCAAGAATATCTTCTGCATGTGGTACTGGAAGAGCCATCGCTTTCGGAGAAGGAAAATCCTGAGAACTCGAGTCTCCAGAAGAGGGAGAAGGCTCTCGGGGAGGGGAATCAATGAGACTTTGTAGGGCAAGGAACGCAGGCCTCTTTACAGAGCTCCATGTGTTGATGGGATTTTTCCTTTTCATCTTCAGTCTCCGTTTGGTTTTGAACACTGGAGAGAGATCAATATTATTCAGGTGGTAATTCCCTCTGGACTCTGGTTCTGCTCCCACTTTGGTCTTAGATGTTCTGAAGACAGCATGAGGATCAATTAAGCGGTAATTCACTCCATCATATAAACTTGGTTCTGCTGCCTCTGTCTTTTTTGTCCTAATTTTTGCTATTTTTTCTGGTTCAGAGAGAGACTTTGCACGGGCTGCAGCAGATGGCCTGCCCACGATGTACCTCTTCAGGGAAGAGGCGTCCCTGGCATTGTGCTCCTCTGTGAGTGGGGGCTCTGGGTAGAAGGAGTTGGCCACCAGGTGCCAGGGCCTCTGGGCCACATGAAGCTCCTCCTGCTCCCTGGCTCCTGCGCTCCCCAGCCGGCCTTGCACGGTGCCCTCCACAAGGGGGCGCGCGTTCTCTCTCCTCCTGATTGTCTCCTGCTGCATCAGCATGGCAGCTTTTTGTGTTTTTTTAATGTCATCAATTTTTTGTTGAATTTTGTAGTTTATCAAATTTTTCAGAAAGTGGATCTTTCTCATTTTACGTTCATTTGATTTTAAAGACAAGTCTTTTGGATTGGTTTTCAAGTGATCCACAGATCTATCTTCTTGTGGACTGGAAAAGAACAATTTAATGTAGGGTAGTAACACTGACTCTATGTCTTCTACACTGCTGCCTGAGAAATAAGGCAATACGTAATTTAGTGAACTGATAACATCTTTTTCATTTAAGTCTAGTCGCTCACTTGTAGAGTCTAGAATGCCAAACTTATGTTTCTCTGAATTCTCTGTTTCAACAATTTCGTGCTAGTGTTCCTCTTCCGGGCCTGCAGTATCTTCAGGAATTCCGCTTTGGGATTCCCCGTCGTTGGTTCTGTCAGAAAGGAAGAGAATGCTTTCGTTACCAGGAAACTGAGTGTCAGTGTACAGACATACATCCCCAGCAGTTTAGGCTCGGAATCACCAAGATTTGGTTACCACATAGGAAGAAAAATTAACCCAAGCTTAAGTCTATGAAATGGCAGCAACAGAAAGGAAGAAAAAAGTGATTTTTAAAAAGAGTGTAATCAGAAGAGTCCTGAGTATGAAAAAGCAGTCACTGTTTAGGGTTGTTCCTTGTCTCCCCAGTGGCCAACTGCCCAGCACCCAGTAAAAGCCCATGGCCGGGAGACAGTCTCCATGCAGCTGGCCCCTGTGGAAGTGCCTGCCTCACAGACACATCCTGCACCGTCCTGCCTCAGACACCCAGGGGGCACAAGGCTTCCTCTCTCCCCCTCTCCAGCGACCTTGCCTTCTTGCTGCTGTCAACAGGTGACCATGGCCAGACACATTCACATGAGGGGAGTGAAGGCACAGATGCTAAAACAGGGGCCTACTCCTCCTCTGGATGTGTCCTTTTCCACCAAGGCAACAGTTACTTGGTCTCTGCTCAATGTTTCCTAGCCCTTATCACAGAAGGTTCCTCATAGAGAAAACCACCGCATCAACCCTTGGTCTTTAAATATGGCCAGGGGTCTGGGATGTAGGTGGAGTGGTCTGTGGGTTGCTAGGTGGTACGCATGCACAGATTGTTCTGTGAGCTCTCTGGGGTGGTAGCAGTGTCTGGGTAAATGTTGCTCAATGCCCTAAAATGTAAAAGGGAAAGAGGCTGGAGCCCTGGTGTGGTAGCCTAGTGGCTAAAGTCCTCACCCAGTATGCACCAGGATCCCATATGGGCACCAGCTCGTATCCCAGGTGTTCCACTTCTCATTGAGCTCCCTGCTTGTTGCCTGGGAATGTAATCAAGGATAGCCCAAACCCTTGGGACCCTGTACCCAGGTGGGAGACTAGAAGAAACTCATGGCTCCTGGCTTCAGATCAACTCAGTTCTGGCCATGGCTTCCACTTGGGGAGTGATCCAGTGGATAGAAGTTTTTCTCTCTGTCTCCCTTTCTCATTGTAAATCTGAGTTTCCAATAAAAATAAATAAATCTTAAAAAAAAAGGGGGGGGGGAAGAAGCTGCTTTTGCAAATGCCAGTTTTTGCTTTCATTTCTAGTATTTCCAGCTTGACTTGCGGAAGCCTTCAAACTTCCAAGTGCAGGAAGGTCAAGTGTGCTGTTGTGTGGCTGGGCTTCTCTCCCAGGCCCTGCTGTGATAGTGAGAGGCGGAGGTGAGCGTCATGAGAAAGAAGGAACATGAGTGCGTGGAGAGTCAACGGTGGACAGAAGACCGGGTGTCTGGCTTCATCCCTTCATGCCTCCATCTTGTTTCTCCTCTCTGTGAGTCCATTAAATTGTTTGTTCTGCCCCCTCTTGGAGAGAAGGGGTTAATAGGTGGAAAAGTGTGCTCGACAACAAACAGCACTGTTTGGCATTCACTAGTATGCTGAAGTCCTGGATCCTGACAGAGATGTGTATCCAAGCTCTAGGGAGAATAGAGCAGTCTTGTCTGGAATCCCAACATTAGTGGGACTTCAAGTTAGTTGGTGGAGTTTAGTTACTTACTTAGTGGGACTCCAGATATCCGGAAAACCACAGCAAAGTCCCTGGGTGACTGCCCAATGAGAAGCCTGAGCCTCGGAGCAGGTTCAGAGCTGGGCTGTCTACTGGTGGATGGCATTCCACTCCATCAGAGGAGCCAGGCAGCCATGCCTGTCTTGGAACCACCAACTCCCAGGCTCAGAATAAAGCAGTGTCACTTATACTCTTCTCCACAATTGCAAAAACAAGCCAACAACAATGTTCTACACCTGTTCTCTAGGGCAGAGGCACTGGAGGCCTACTGTGTATAAAAGCAGGCTACACACTGTGGTGCAGTGCACAAATGAGTGCTCATGGAAGCAAAGCACCAAGCTGAGAGCACAGTGCACCATGTGGCCCTCAGCGTTAATTCCTTCCCTTCCATTTCTTTCCTGTGATTCTTTATGCACAAGGAACAGTTAGAGCATCAAATTTCCTATCAGTCACTGGGAGCCTGATGTTCATTGAGAGAGTAGTTCAGAAATTGAGAGTTTTACTCTGAAGGAATGAACTAAAATAATTACATAATAGCTTTAAGCATTTATCCCTAATTTACAAATAAGAAATTAAAATCACCAGGCATTTGAGACTCACCACAAGATTGAGTGTTTGTCAGACACTCACTGCAACAGTGCAGCTTGACTGTCTTGCAGACAGCCTCAATATCCTTTTTAAATTGGCAGAGGCAGCAGGCCATGGAGTTCGGTAAGATCCTGTTAAAAGGAAACACAGAAAATTCAGCTAATAATTAAAGGATTATCTGAGTAGGTCAAGAGGCAGGCCAAGGCTGTGAAAAAGGTAATCTTGAGATGTGGCATCAGGCTATGTGGCTGGGAACCTGATGACCAAGTGCTGCTCTTAAATGTTGCAAATATGGGAAGGATGCAGAGGTGCCCAACAGAAAGGTAAGCAAGGCAGGGGGTGTGGTATGCTCGGGATAAAGGTGACAGGGGCTGGAAGCGAGTGCCACTGGTCAGTACTGTCACTCAGGAGTATCTCCTCCCAGCTCACAAGTCTCACTCTGGGATAATGTCAGACTTGTGAGAAGGAGTCAGAGCCCCCAGCCTTGGGAATGCCTTTCTCATCTGCTGTTCGAAGGATCTAATATTAGAAATTACTCTAGCTGCAGAAAAGACTGACTCTAGCAATTGTTGAAGAAAGATACAGAGTAAAAGGATCTCTCAGTCAATGTTGGGGTTTACAAAAAGTTTGCCAGGGGTAGGCATTTAGCCCAATGGTGAATATGTTGCTTAGCAACCCACATTCCATGCACCTGGGTTTGAATCCTGTCTCCCCTTCCTCCAGTGAACACCCTGGGAGGTGTCAGGTAAAGCTCAATAAATACTCAGAAGTAGAATAGCTGGAACATATGGTAGGTCTTAAAGTTTTTATGAATACTCTGAAACTAATTTGATTAAAAGCTTTTCTTGAGACATATTTTTAAAAATTATTTGAAAGGTGGAGAGAAAAACAGAAACGTTCCATCAGCTGGTTCACTCCAAATATCTACCACAGTCAGGGCTGGCCAGGCTGACGTTGGGAGCCCAGAACTCAACTTGGGTCTCCCCCCCATAGGAGGCAAGAACCCAATAAATTGGGCCATCAGCTACTGCCTCCCAGGGTGCACATTAGCAGGAAGCCAGAGTTGGAAATGAATCCGGCACTTGAATTCAATCACTTTGATGTGAGTATGAGTGTCCCAGGTGGTGGCTTACTGCTGCTCTTGTAACAGCTTCATTTGGGATAGCCAAAAATGGAAAGAACCCAAGTGTCTGGCCACAGATGAGTGGATAAATGATACTGAGTTCACATAATGAGATGTTGTTCCACTAGAAAAAGAAATGAGCTATTTCAACAGACAACAGTCGTGTCTTAATCGTATTACATAAATAAAGATGATTAGAAAGAGTGCATAGCATATAATTCCATTCATATAAAATTCTAGAAAATGCATATGATAGTAACAGAAAGATGCTGAGACTTACACAGGCACCGGGGAGAGCAAGAGTGATGGAACAGAGGGTTCCAAAGAGATATAAGGACCTGTTGATGTGGTAGACATTTGGAGTTGGGTGATGACTTCATTGTATATACATATATCTATACCTTATTTATGGTCTCAATTATGCTTTCATCTCTGGCATTATTGTGAAACTGTCTGAAGGAAGAAGGAAGGGAAGGCGGGAAGAAGAGAATAAGGAAGGGAAGAAGACAGGCTACTCCAAATCTATGTGACAGGTATATGGGCAACCATTATATTCTGTCTAGTAAGTTTGAATTTGTAAAAATATTTACTTGAGGGTGCCGCTGAGTGTGTGGAGAGATAGGGACAGAATTAAGCAGAAGAGAGAGCAGGAAGTGCAGAATTGCAGGAAAAGATGTCCGAAGCTCCCTGGAGTCGGCGAAACTGAGGCAACTTTCACACAGGCAAGAGAGAACCTGGAAGAACTCTCAGGATGGCAACCTGCCGCTTGAGCTTGTGGAGACGGATACCAGGATACCATCCGGGACAGGCAAGGACTCAGTAAAAACCTGGTGAGTCATGAATCGATGCAGGGAAGACACCAGCAGGAGCCTTAGCCTGCCCATAAGAGACAGAGGGAGTCAGAAGGACTCTCAGATCAGGACACTGGTGGGATTTAAAAAAATGGCCCAATGAGGAAGCTATAGGCACAGATATGAGCAGCCTCTCCCAGAGGAGGGAACGGCATTGGAGAAAGGATAGTTGGGAAGTGAAAGGTGCAGTTTGGAGACACAGTCGGCAAGACCTGAGACCACCCCCACCCAAGGTTTCTCAGACTTGGGCCACCCAGAGGGATGCCAGAATCCCCCAACACAGAGATGTGGGAGCCCCAGGGTCAGAGGTTTCTCTCAGTGACCCAGCAGCGTAAGAGCAGACTCCAAAAGTGCATGAGGGTAGGTTAGTGCCAATACCCAGCAGACCGCAGGAGAACCCAGCGGTGCAGGTACAAATTCCAGGGCAAACCAAAGCCACATAACCCCGAGCCGGCGCTTGCCCATTGGAGATGAGGCGTGGTGCACCCCAGAGTGCGGAGATCCCAGCCACTGGTTGCACACTGTGTAGCAGAGGCTGGGTCATTTCCACTCTCGGCAACTGCACAGCGGGCAGAGGCTGTGAAGGCGCCGGGCAGCAGGGGCTTGCACACAGAACTGGAATTTGCAGGCTTTCCGTCGCAAAGCTCCACACCCTGCCTGAAACTGGGAAACGCAAATGAGGAGGAGAGTGAAAGCACTGGTCGCCCACAAGGTGGCAGCAGCTGACAAACATCCTAGTTACCTGGCTGGCTGAGAGGCCTCACAACCCACAGAGCAGCTGACAGATTCAGTGCTCCCAGAAGCCCCCAAAGCACACCAGAGCTAAAATCTCAAAACGACAAGAAAGCACAAAACAATGGGAAGAAGTACCAGAAAAACTATTCAGATGAAAGAGCCAGTACTCCCCCCAAAAATGACCAAAAAATAACCTGTCTCAGAGTTGCAAGAAAAAGACATTGAGGAACTACCGGAAAAGGAATATTAAAAATGAACATGAAACTCTTCATAGACAATGAGAAGTATTGGGAAGAGCTCAAAGAGTTCTCACAGAAATTAAACGGGTCCAAAATGAAATTTCAGAACTGAAAAATATGGCAGCAAGCTTGACAACAGATTCAGTGTTGCAGAGGAGAGAATTTCAGAATAGAAGGTAACCAAAATGAGAATACACAACAGAGAAGAAAATGAAACACCTGGGAATAAACTTAACAAAGGATGTGGAAGATCTCCATGAGGAAAACTACAAAACATTAAGAGAAGAAATAGAAGACTTCAAAAAAGTGAAGATAAATACCATGTTCCTGGATGGGCAAAGTCAACATCATCAAAATGTCCACATTCCCAAAAGCAAAATATGCATTCAATGTGATTCCAATCAAAATACCAAGAACATTCTTCACAGAGCTGGAAAAAATGATACAAAGGTTCATTTGGAAACACAAAAAAACACGAATAGCCAGAACCATCCTGAAGAATAAGAACCTAGCGGGAGGGATCACAATCCCAGATCTTTGGACATATTATAGGGTGGTAGTTATCAAAACAGCCTGGTACTGGTACAGAAACAGAGAGGTAGATCAATGGAGTAGAATAGAAAATCCAGAAGGGAACCCACACATGCACAACTATCTAATCTTCAGCAAGAAAACAGAAAACAATCTGGGAAAAAGGAAGGTCTCTTCAATAGATGCTGTTGGGATAACTGGTAATAGTCTGCAAGACCCACACCTTTCACCACACACAAAGATCAAACCTAAATGGATAAAATCTAAATCTACACCCAGAAACCATCAAACATTTGGAAGAAAAAGTTGGAAATACTCTACAAGATATAGGTGTATGTACTGACTTCCTGGAAAAATCATCAAAAGCAAAGGATGCCAAGACCAAAATAAACGAATGGGACCTTCATTAAGCTAAGAAGCGTCTGCACAGCAAAGGAAACAATCAGCAAAGTAAAAAGGCAATCAACAGAATGGGAGAAGATCTCTGCACACTACATGGGAGACAAAGGGCTACTTTCCTGAATATACAAAGAACTCCAGAACAATAATACAAACCAACCAGTCAAGAAATGGGCAGGGGTAAATGGGCAGACCTTTACAAAGGAACAAATTCAAATGGCTAACAGACACATGAAAAAATGCTCAAGCTCTCTGGCAATAAGGGAAATTCCAATTAAAAACAACACTGAGGTTCCACTTAACACCAGAAAGAATTGCCCACATGCAGAAAACTACCAACAACACCTGCTGGCAAGGTTGCGGAGAAAAAGGAACCCTACTCCACTGCTGGTGGGAATGCAGGCTGGTGCAGCCACTGTGGAAGTCAGTATGGAGAACACTTAGGCAATTAAAAATCCACCTACCATATGACCCAGCAATACCACTTCTAGGAATATATCCAAAAGACTTGTTACATGAGAAAGCAACACGCACCCCAATGTTCACTGCAGCACAATCAACAATTGCAAGAACATGGAAACAACCTAAATGCCCACCAACAGAGGACTGGATAAAAAACTGTGGTTCATCTACACTATGGAATACTACTTGGGTGTTAAAAAATGAAATACAATACTTTGTGGCCAAATGGGCCAAACTAGAGACCATTATGCTAAGGGAAATGAGCCAATCCCAAAAGGTCAGATATCATATGTTTGCTCTAATATAATATGATGTCAAATCTAGGGATATTATATGTGAATCTTACTCTATGTCACTTCATACTTACCTGTACTTTGAGTAATAAGATCTTCACTCACTCTTAGACAAAAGGTGGAGAAGCGATTGTGTAATAAGATCTTGTGATGTAATCCATTAATCAAACATCCATAAGAGACTGATTATTTATAATTTAAAAAATACAGTGGTAAAAATATTTACTTGACAAGTAGAGTGTTAGAGACAGACACACACATACCACAAGAGAGAGAGGAAGAGAGTTAATCTTCCATCCTCCGATGGGGCTGGGCCAGGCTGAAGCCAGGAGCCAGGAGCTCCATCTGAGTCTCCTACCCCCGGCACTTTGGTCTTCTTCTGTTGCCTTCCCAATCACATTAGTAGAAAACTGGGTTAGAAGCAGAGAAGCCAGGATTTAAACCAGCACTCCTAAGCTGCTGTGCCACAACCCTGGGCCCCATGTAGGTATGAATTTTCTCACAACAAAATCTTGCAGTGAAAGATAGCCAAGCTGATTGTCTTATGAGTTAAGGCTTCCTGCAGACAGTTTCAGGGAGAGAACAGCCGTCTCTAACTGCTGTGCCACACTGCCCACTCACTATAAAATAAATTGAAATGGAAACACACAGATTGCAACCAGAAGAGGAGCAATCACAACTCCCATAACCTGCTGGTGACAATGCAAATAGCACTGTCACTTTAGGAAACAGTTGAACGGTTTCTTAAGGAGGAAAAAATGCAGTTAGTAGTTGCTGCAGCGACCCTAGCCTTGTGTTTATCACCTAGGAAGGGAAAACATGTTTACACAAAGGTCTGCCTAGGAGTGCTTTTAGCAGCTTTATTCATTATTGCAAAAATTGAGAAAGTCCAGATATGCAAACTGATGAGTGACTGAAACAAACTGGCCTATTCACACAACTGGGATATTGCTCAGCAACAGCACTGCTGCTGGAGCCAATGGCAGGGCAATAGCGTAATCTCACAAAGATTGTGCTCAGTTAAACAAGCCCAACACTAAAGCCTACTACATACACTGCATGACTTAAAAGACACTGACGAGGGCCTATCACAACGGCTCAATTGCCTAATTCGCCTCCTCCAAGCACCAGTTGCTCTATGGGTGCCATTTCATGTCCTGGCTGCTCCACTTCCCATCCATCTCCCTGTTTACAGCCTGGGAAGACAGCAGAGGATGGCACAAAGTCTTGGGATCCTGCACCCACATGGGAGACTCAGAAGAAGCTCCTGGCTCTTGTCTTCAGATTGGCTCAGTTCTGATCACTGCAGCCACTTCAGGAGTGAACCATTAAATAGATTTTTGTCTCTCCCTCTCTGTATATCTGCTATTAAATAAAAATAAATCTTTCTAACATCAAAAAAAAAAAAAAAAACTCAGCAATGTTGAAAAGGCAAAAGCAACAGGTGTCTGGGTTGGAAAGGGTTGACTGCAAAGGGTCCAGAGGGCCCATTTTGGCATGTCAGAAGCAATCTAGGAATTTAGTGGTGGTTTTATAACGATACAATGATGAAATTTATCACACTGCATACTTAAGTTTTATTATGTGCAAATTATTCCTGAATAACTCTGATGTAAGAAAGCAATTAAATCTTCAAAATGACAAAAACATAAGCCTAAGAGAACAACTTACAGTTTTTCCAGTTCGAGAGACTTCATGAGGATGTTCTCAACTGTGCTGATTGACACCAGTGTTCTTCCGAGGTCTCTGAGGGAGAAAGCCCAAGCAGTCATGATGTGACCCCCCAAGAAAAAGTTCTGTCCTTAAAAAGATGATTTCAAGGAACAAAATCTAATAAAATTGAAATGAAACAAAAAACTAGGATATTTTAAAAAGTAAAAAGAGTTAAGAGCATGCAGTTGCATTAACTTTTGGCTACTCTATAAAACAAGACAGCTTAAGAGTCTGTCAGGGCAGATCCTTCCAGGAAGTTCTCATGGAAGAAATTTAAGTTACTCTGCACTGTCAAGTCAGTGACCTTGGCACTGAGGGACAGAACCTGTACCGTTTGGTTTGTTGCCATTATCTTCCTTTTCATTTGCCTATTTCACTCCTTGGTTACTTGATATCTTTTCATCTGCTTTGTATCTCTACATGTATCTGAATATGCTCAACAACACTGTCTGCTGGGGCTGTTTTACACATTGTACATCTTTTCTTAATCCAGGAGCCCAGTTCAACTTAAAATTGCAACTTTTTAGCCTCAATGCAAAATACTTAAATTTTGATCAAAGTAAAAACAAGGAGTATAAATCACCCCATGATTCATGCGGTTTATTTTTCATACTTACAGATATTTTAATGCTGGCAAATTAAAAAGATAGGGATCTTCGACAGTTGTCAATGGATTCTGATCAAGATTTCTGAAAAATGCAATGGGATAAAAATTATACACCTCTTCTCTATGTATAAACATGTGCAAAAGTTTATATACATATACATATATATGACAGAGAATTTATAAATTAACAAAAATAATTTAATGGGCCTTCCCAGTAGCCTGGTAACTGAAGTCCTTGGCTTGATCATGCTGGGATCCCATACGGACACTGGTTCTAATCCTGGCAGCCCTGCTTCCCATCCGGCTCCATGCTCGTGGCCTGAGAGGGCAGTGAAGGATGGCCCAAGGCTTGGGACCCTGCACCACATGAATGGAGGGAGGGAGGAGGCCATACAGCCAGGATCTGCAACAAGTATTGGTCCACTCACTCCCAGCACATCTTAAACCCCTCCCTCGAATGCAAATGGAACTGTGAAATCATGAACCACAGGACAGGTGGCTATCTTGTCCAAGGTCAGGCTTGGAAGAAAATCTCTATCTCAAATCTCAATTCCCCTGGCCGTGGACCATCACAGAATTGTTAAGCAGGGAGGGAATAAAACTGCAACATTTCATTCAAGTGTGCCCTGGATGTACACAAAATCAGGCTAGAGCAATGCTTTCCTATTACTTTTCACATCATAGCTTAAAATAAACACCACCTTTGCTACTTCAAAAGTTCCCTTGCCCACAGATGGTTTATAACTTCACTTGTCAAAACACACCATGAGCTGGGTGACTGTGTTGAATTTTCAGTTGTTCTTTCTGCTTTATCATTTAGAAGAAAGTGACCCTGAGAAAGCACCAGCACCTCGGCTCCCCAGACTGAGCAGCAATCCCAGTTAAATTCGGGCTGGAATCTCAAGGAGCACTGGGAATCCGAGCAGCACTGTGGGGACTCTGGCAGCAGTGCTAACTGGATAGTATTTGCTAGCTATGCTCTCTTGCCCAAGGCCAAGATCAGCACTAGGAAAAGCAGAGCATGTCAGCTGTCACACAAAGTCCTGAGCCTCAATGCACCTTGGTGTCCTCATTGGAAAAAAAAAAAAAAAAAAAAAGAGTGGAACTTAAGCCATACTTTGCAGAATTTGTTCATGACTTACACTCAGCTAAAGATAACTATATAGATTTTACATATACACAGCTCTTTAATATGTGTTTATCTTGTATTTCACTTACATCACATGCAAAAAATGCATTCCATGCCATGCCTGAAATGTGCCAAAACTCACTTCTGTGAGTAAATTGCAACCAAGATTTCTGTGAAAAGACACAAATTAAGAAGAAAGTTACTCTTTTAGAACATTCATCTTTCAGCAGTGATCCTAATTTGTACAGGTGAAACATCGCCTCCACACACTCAAGACTTCCCAGTTGGAAGACTCTGGCTTCTGACTTAACACTTTCACATCTACACAGGCGGTGCATTAGGTACACCAAACCACACGCGACAAATACTTGTGCTCAGTGATTTTCATTTCCTCTCTCTGGAACAAGGTTTCACAACTTGAGCACTTTAGAGTTTTGAGCTGGGTAATTCTTCTTTGTGGAGGTCTGTCCTGTACATGGCAGTTGTTCTAGAACAATTCATGGCAGGTGATTTCGCAGCACCCTGACATTGGCCCAAAATATCTCTGGAGATTAGAAAGATTTGCTACATAATTCTAGCTAACTTTCTACAAGTAAGAATTATAATGATATTGCGAAATATGATTGACTACCAAGGGGGGTTACAATTAAGACTTACTGTAATTCCAAAGATGACATTATAACTTACATAGATGTCAAAAAGGGGAGTGATTCAAATGTACTCCTTTCAATAAATTTTAGTTTATTACAGGATAAATCCCTAGGAAAAGAAAAAGCAAAATGTCTATTAGATCTCTAGTGAGTAGGAATGAACAGAATTTGTATTTCTTAATGTTGAATATGCAGTTTTTGTCTAAACTACACCTTTGGGCATCTGTTTGAACATTCCAGAGCTCCTAATCAAACTTGTAACCTCTCCTAACAGTCTCACCTTCTGGGTCTTTATAAATAAAATATACAGCATGGCTATAGCTCTTGATAAGACTCTGAAGGGAAAATTTCCTGGCAGCAAGAGATATGATCAGATGACCTTTAGTAGTCTCATCAAATTCAAGACAATGAGATCAAAGTTTGTACCTCTATCTGTAATTTCTAATATTCAGACGAATATTCTACTTTTATACCTGCCTGGTGTGGTTCTCTTTTTGGAACTAGTTCAGTTCCAGAATAAACCAGAGAACCTTTCAAATCATTTGAAGGGAAGCTACTCCTCAGATGAACTCATCATTTTGAATTAATTCAGAATTATATTATCCTTAGTAGGAATTCTTTTCTGATTTCACGTCGTCTTGACATTGCGTAAAAGCAGATTTGTTTCAGCTGCGCAGTGGCAGCAGAACAGAAAACAGCATGAACTGGATTCTTGTTGGAAAACACTCACTTGTGACCATAGTAACATGGATCCCAGCTTGCCTCACTTTTCACCCGCATGGCTGCCAACTGCCCACTGTGGCTGTCTCCATCTCTAGTCTCTCTTCTGGAACTCTCCAGAAGTGGTTCTCAAACACTGGCTTCACTTAGGCACCGAAGATGCAAATTCTCGGCCCGGATCTAGAACTCAATCAGGAACTCGGCAGGGCTGGGGTGGTAGAGACAGAACCTAGTTCTGCAAGCCCCTGGATGACGTTGATGCAGGCTCGGTTTTGCTTCAGAGCGCTGCCAGGAACACGTGGCTCTCCTGGCTGGTGACTTTTGCATGACAGTCAAAGCCCTGGAGGCTGTGGCCCCACACTCCTTACGGCTTTCCTCCGTGGACTCCACAGGTACTCATGGCGTTCCTCAGACACTCTCCCATGTTTTGCCCTTCTCTCACTTTCCTTCTGCGGTCTGAGGGTATCGCCCCACACTGTCCTCCCAATGATGCCCAGTGGCTCTACACAGTGTCCTTCCAATGATGCCCTGTTTAACCAATATCACTCTCGCTACAGCCCCCTGATCCAACTTGGAGTCTCTTTTCCCTGTTCTGTTCTCCAGAAGCAATTTGCACATCATGTCTGTGCCCTTTTCTTTTTCACATTGTTACCCTTGCCTCTCCCCTTCCTTCAAAGCATAAACACCTTGAAAGCATGGACTTGGCCTTGTTCATGCGCACTGCTTACCATGTTTCCACCTGGCTCATGGAAACAAAGCAAACTCAGATACTTAGGAAATAAAGGAATAGCTAAGGAGTGAGTGAACGGAAGGAGGAACAAGTTACTAGTTTTTTTTTCTTTTAATTTTTTTTTTCTAAATCACTAGTGTTTAAGGAATGTGGTTGCATTACTCCACTGACCCTCTGCAGTGTGTTGTCATCGACCTGTTTGTTGGATCATGTTTGATTTCTGTGCGTGTTTCCCCTGCAAGCGATCTTGCAGCTCCTAGGAGGGTAGGAAGCCTGCCTTACACATTTTAGAGCCTCAAACTAGACTAAGTGCTTAGCATTCTCTTTCAGTTATGAAAAATGATGGCATTTTAAAAAGGGATGACAATATAGATGCCGACAGAGAATAACTAGCTTGCAAAGGACTTCCCACTAAAAGCAAGGAAGGGCCTGTTGTACTGGACAGTTATTATCTCTTCTGTTTTTCTCCAGATCAGGTCTATAAGGTTTGGGAGTCCAGAAGAAAAAGATGGAAGCAATTGTCCCCTTCAGGCCTAGAGAGCTTGGTCATTCAAAGGATTATTGTTAGTGTCAGATGAGGCTGTTTCTACCCACTGTCCTTCAGCTGTATAAATTGGAAAGAAGAATCTATTTCCTAAGAGTAGCAATAATCGGCCTAATAAAGATGCATGGCATTTGGAGCCCATTGTGGTATAGTAGGTAAAACAGCCCTGCCATGCCAACATCCCAGTTGGGCCCTGGTTTGAGTTCACTGCTCCACTTTCCATCTACATTCCTGCTATATGCCTGGAAAGGCAGTGGAAGATGGCCAAATCCTTGGCATTCCTCCCCCTGACCAACCCCTCCAAATACCCAGCTATTACGCTTGAAGAATACAAAATGAATAGTATGGATTCAATGCATGAGACCCTATACATACTTACAGAATTGTTATTTTAATACTAGAAGAAACTTTAGAGATTATTGAAACACCTTATTCATTTGATAGAAAACAACTAAAATCTCAGAAATAAATGTGCTTAACTAACTTACAAGTGCTGCAGGAATAGCAAGCCTTCAAATGAATCCTTATGTAATTCAGTCAAATAATTTTCACTGAGAATCCTGGATCAAAATGAAGAATAACAACAATTTTTATTCAGGAATAACTCTGATGTGGAGGAACCCTCAGTAGGGTGCCACTTAAATGCAAGTTAGATCTTTCTCCCTTTCTCTGTAACTCTAATGAGTTTCAAGTAAAACAATTACATCTTAAAAAAAAAAAAAAAGCCCACATATCACACTAGTTTTCCTGTGTCTAAATGATGTGCAGAAAAACATAAGAGAAGGTCTGGAGCGATGTATATCACAGTCACAGCAGCTTACTTCAGGGATGGAATGTTACACTACAAGAAGATTTTTACTGTATCAGTTTTTAGTCTCTTAAGAACATAATCATGGAGCCCAGCATGAAAGCTCAATGGCTAAATCCTCATCTTGCAAGAGCTGGGATCCAATGTGGGCACCAGTGCACGTCCCGGCTGCTCCACTTTCCATCCAACTCCCTACCTTAGGGCCTGGAAGAGCAGTAGAAGATGGCCTAAAGCCTTAGGACCCTGAACCCAGAAGAGAGAGCCAGCAGAGGCTCTTGGCTCCTGGCTTCACCTCGGCTCAGCTCTGCCTGTGGAGGCCACTTGGAAAGTGAGCCAACAGATACAGAATCTTTCTGTCTCTCCTCTTTGTAAGAATAATTTGTCCAACAAAAGCAAAGAAATCTTAAATAAAAAATAATATAATCATGTATTACTTACAAGATGAAAAATAAACTTCAGTGGTCTCATTGCAAATACTGTGTTTTAGAACTGTAATAAGTAGAGGTTGATTTGTTAACATGAAGGGGTAAATACCTTTTCCAAGACATTCTGACCTCTAATACTGGACCAAAGAGTTTAAGATGCAGTTACTTTGTTTTTGTATCCATATTTAGAGAGAATATACTCACAAAGTCTCAGCCCAGCGATATGCTTTCCATACATTTTTGTCAATGTAGGATATAGCGTTCCCTTGGAAATTTCTGTAAAGAAGCACAGTTCATATCCTTGAATAGATAGGAACACAATGAACAGAACAAGGAAAACACTCGTAGCAACTTCATGGGGATATTGAATATGGATATTACTACCAGCTTTCTAGTTTCTAGAGCTTCACCTGATGGCAGGCACAATTAAGAAAGAAGAACATGGGGTCCTGGCACAAACGTTGAGGTGTCCCTTCAGAAGCTTAACTTCCTCTTTGTGCAATCTCTTTGATAGATAATGCCAATCAGTTGCATTTGAGGGACATACTGCCTCCAAAATTCCCTGGGTGTCTAAACTGGTCCTTTTGCAAATCAGTAAGAAAATAATTCAGCTGAGAACAATGGATCAATTTATCTTCAGCAGCAAATAAGAATAAAGAAACTCCAACGTACAGTAATTCTAACACTTTGGCCAAGTACCTTCTACTGCAATTATTCTACCTACGTGAATGGACATGGACAATGCAAAATCAGATGGACTAATGCGTTGACACGAATGGGTCACTGGCCATAGCCATGGTGAGGGATGGAAAAATCAAATGACTGAGCCAGGAGCAAAACATCACCTCCCTCAGGGAAAAGTGCAAGGGAGAGAAACTGGAAGGAGGGACACATATCCTCATGGAGATGGGAGTGACTTATGGATAGTGGAGTAGAGAGGATAGGATGATAAAGGGTGTGGGGGTGTAGATTCTGATATTTTTCTCTTTGTTCCATGATCCTTTGGCAAAGTAAGAATGTACCCATGAATCATCCACATTCCAAAGCAATCTTAAATACTGTAAGTTTCAAGTCTGGGTAACTTTGAGTCTTTACCTGTGCTTCTGTCTTCACTCCATCATCAACAGTGCACCTGCATGGCTTATGTACAACACGGTTGTACCTGCGTGTTCTGCCTGGTGGACATTCCCATTCAACCAGAAGGCTTTGCTCTATGTTCACCAACATAAAGTATTAAAACTGAACACACCTCCCTCAGATTGCCTCTCCTTTCTGATTGCTGTCTGCACCTGTGAGGCAACTCACTCTCACCAGCACCCAGGACAAAGCTTGCAGTCATATTTTTTCTTCTGTGCATACATCCACCCACCAGCCTTTGATCAGTTTCTAGGTCCATCCGGCCTTTTTCATCTCAGGGACTTTCTTTTCATTCCTATCAGAGCTGGTGACTTGGTCTCATTCTCATTTTATTCCTTGATTTTACTAGAGGTCTTTTTTTTTAATGTCCCTGAAGTAAGCTTTCCTCTCTAGATGACTCTCCATATAGTGTCTAAAATCATATTTCTGAAACAGGCATTTGGCCTAGTAACTAAAACACATCTCACGTCAGAGTGCCTGGGCTCCTACCCGGCTCCAGTTACTGACTTCAGCTTTCTGCCCACACACACCCAGAAGGTAGTGGAGCTGGCTCCAATAGCTGCCCTCCTGCCACCCTCATGGCAGACCTGGGTTGGGTTCTTAGCCCACTTTGACCAACCCAGTGCCTGCTGTTCAGGCATTTAGAGAATGAACTAGCAAATGGAAACTCTCTCTCTGAATCTGTCTCTCTGCCTTTTGAGTAAATGCACAGAAAAAAATTAAGACAATGATCAATTTCTTTTAAAATTTTTAAAAATAATCTTTCTGTTGGGCCCGGCGCCGTGGCGCAGTGGTTAAGGTCCTTGCCAGGCACGCCCGGGATCCCATATGGGCACCGGTTCTAATCCCGGCAGCCCCGCTTCCCTTCCAGCTCCCTGCCTGTGGCCCGGGAAAGCAGTCGAGGACGGCCCAAAGCTTTGGGACCCTGCACCCGTGTGGGAGACCCGGAAGAGGCTCCTGGCTTCGGATCAGCATAGCATCGGCCCGTTGCGCTCACTTGGGGAGTGAATCATCGGACGGAAGATCTTCCTCTCTGTCTCTCCTCTCTGTATATCCGCCTTTCCAATAAAAAATAATAATAATAAATCTTTAAAAAAAAATAATCTTTCTGTTTTGATCACCTCTCTCTTGCTTGAAAACTTTCAGGGTTTTCTGCAGCTCATAGTATAACTCTGAAACCCCTGTAGCTGATATTCAAGGTTGTTCATTTAATATCTTTCATTGCTTTGTAAGTCAGTTCTTGGCAGACAAGCTGTCTACTAAGCCTTGCTGATTCCAATAGTCAAGGGTAACAGGTCAGGCTGTCAGGATGCTGGCATCCCATACATATGTGGGTACCGGTTTGATGACCAGCTTCTCCACTTCCTATCCAGCTCCCCACTAATGTGCCTGGGAATACAGTGGAAAATGGCTCAAGTGCTTGGGCCCCTGAACCCACACAGGAGACCCAGAAGAAGCTCTTGCTCCTTACCTTTGGCCTGGCCCAGCCCCAGCCATTGTGGCAATATGAGGAGTAAAGCAGCAGAAGTAAGATCACTTTTTCTAGATCTCTCTTCTTGCTGTAATTCTGCCTTTCCAGTAAATCTAGTAGTTTTTTTTTTTAAGAGAAGGAGAAGGAAAGGCGACAAGAAAAATGTCACAATAGGAAGTCAGGAAATACAGGTTGAGTCAGGAGGAAGGCCCAGCAAGGTACTGAGCAAAAGGCTACCATGACAGACAAGATCTAGAGAACTCTGAGGAAGGGTAGTTCTTACAAGATGGTGAAGGTGTCATTGTGGGCACTGAAGGATCCTGGCACAGGCACTTGGTGGAGCTTCTGCCACGGGCTGAGATTGGTACATGACAGCATTCCATTTTTGCAGGTACAGAGCTCGCAGATGTCCGTGCTGTTGGGGGTGCTTTCTTTTGACTCAATGAAAGTAGTTAGCCGGGTAGCATACTCAGCAGCCTTGACTTCAGGATACAAAGTTGGAAACTGCCCTGCAGGTGGAGCTGTAGTCTTCAGGATTTTAGAAGGGCCAACCTCTGGAGCAGGGACTGGAGCTTTGATAGGCTCCAACTCTGAAGGCTGACCCGTGACTCGGGAATCTGAAGGCTGACCCGTGACTCCGGTTGATGTTGCTACAGTTACTATATCACTAGTTGGCTCTGGTGGCCGAGTTAGAGTAACCGAAATAGTTGTAGGCTTGACCTCTGTAGATAAATTGAGAGGATTGCCTGTGACTTGTTGAGTCTGGCTCCGGTCTGTATATGTAGGTGGCACCTCAGAATGCCTTGGAGGTGCTGCTGATGTAGTCTCCAGGGCTGTAGACTGTTCAGCCAACGTGGTGGGTTCTGGGATTTTGAAAATTTCTGTCTTCACAGCTTCAACTGTGACACTGACTGGCACTATATGCTGAATTGGAGCTACAACCTCCAATGGAGGCTCTGGAGGCTGAGCTGAGGTCTTCTGCAGGGCTGGAGATGATTCAACTTCCGCAATTCTGGATTGAAAAGCCAGCTGAATATCAAACGCCTGAACTGTGACTTCAGTCAGGTTTGGATGCTGCGCCTGAACCAGCTCTGCCTGTGGAAGTGTCACCTCAGGGACACCTGGAGGTGGTGTTTTGGCATTCCTCGGGGCTGTAGAATGTTCGACCTCCACAGCAGGACTCGGGTTTAGATGCTGAGTCAGAATTGCATCTGGACTCGTTCCTGTAGGTTCTTTCAGGGCGGTTGCATGCTCAGCCTCTGCAGTGGGTTCTGGACCATTGGTAGGTGTAGGTGGTAGGTGGTAGGTTCAAGGTCTGATCTGTGACACTGGGTGTCACTGGAGGTTGAGGTGGAGCTGGCGTTGGAACGGCCACCTCTTGCAACACTGGAGGTTGAGCTCCCACCTCTGTAGATGGCTCTGTAAGCTGCACAGGGGTCTCCTGAGTGGTTGGAGCCTGGTCAACCTCTATATTGAGTTCTGGAGTTGGGGTATTTCCCAGGTCCCAATGTGCAACTGTGACCTTGGGCAGGGCTGCATGGTGAGTCTGGACCTGGTCTGGATGTGAAATCTCAGAGTCCAGAGTTGTTGTGGTCTTCAGGGCTGTAGAATGTTCAGCCTCCACACTGGGTCCTGGAGTTATAGTCAGCTGCAGCTTCAAAGGCTGAAAGGTGACCCTGGGTAATATTAGATACGGAGCCTGTTCCTGAGCTGGTTTGGGGACCGTTGCCTCCTCATCTACAGATTCTTGAAGTGGCTCTCGAGGTTGGGTTAGGGGCTCCGAAGAAATGACACCCTCTGTAGTAGGAGATGGAGTCAGGTAATATACTTGGGGTTGGCTTTTGGAACCCACAGTCATTTCCGGATGTTGAGCGGACACTTTCAGCCGTGGTGGAGACGGAAGGGTGATCGGAAGGGCCTCCAGGGGTTCAGCTGGAGATTCCCATTCTGTAGGGATAGGCTCTATCTCCTTAGGGGAAGCTGCAGTCTCATCCATGGCCTCTGGCTCAGCTGCAGAAGGTAAGGCTGGGTAAGGCTCAACCTCTGAAGGTGAAGTGAAGGTGACCTCAGGATCTACTGACTTATCCATACTTGTGGAAACTGTTGAGTGGTCACCTCCTTTCAGGAGTGTCAGGTCCAGCTCATTGTTCCCCGAGGCCTGAGCTGCAACTTCCTGTTGGCTTGAAAGTTATAGCCTCGGTCATGGTCTCTGCAGGGTTAACAGACACACTCGGCAATGTTGGAGACTGACCTTCAGGAGGAACTGTCGCCTCATGAGACTCTGCAGGTGGAGATTTCACTTCTTCGGTCTCTGACACCGGAGCTGGAGCTTCCTGCTGGGCTGGAGACAGTCTGATTTCCTCAGATGAGGGTTCCTCTTCCTGAGGTATTTCTGATGAAGAAATAGACTCAACCTCTTCAAAAGCTTCTGGAGGCGCAGCTGGGGCCTCAGGCTGAGCTTCAGCATTGTGCCTTATTGGCAAGCCATCTTCTGTATCTGCTTGCATTGTACTCTGCAAACGTGCAGGTTTAGCAGGCATACTGGGTAAGTCCATGTGTTGTTGCCAGTGGTGGTGAGCTGAAGCTACGAATATTTCCTCCTGGTGCTCTGGAGGCTGAACTGTGTCCTCCCCAGGCTGGCCTTTAGGAGATTCAGCAGGTCCAATGGACTCGGATGGCTGAGCAAACTGTTCCTGCTGGCCTGGAGAAGGTTCTGCCTCCAACGAAGGCTCAGCATCCTGAGTTGGCTGTTCCAGCTGGGTGGGAGGAGATGTGACCTCCACAGAAGGACGTGCACTCTGAGCTGGGGTCACCTGGTGGCCTGGAAGAGATTCTGTTCCCACAGATGGGCCTGGAGCGGGAGGAATTGGGGCCACCTGCTGGCCTAGAGGTTCCACCTCCACTGAAGGCTCAGCATACTGAGCAGACTCCTCTTGATTACTCGGGAAAGGCTCTAGGTCTACAGAAGGGCCTGGAGTCTGAGCTGGAGCCTCTTGTGGGATTGAGGGAGGGGATTCCCCTTGCGAGATCCCTGCAGGCTGAACTGGGGCCTGCAGCTGGCCCAGAGTACTTTGAACTTCACCACCTGGCTGTAGCGTAATTGTGAGCATCACATCCGCTGGCCTCCCTGTGATGCTTGGCAAAGTAGATTGCAGCGGTGGACGTGGAACACTGATCTCGTTTTGAACAAGCTGCCGGACAGCTTCTTCAGCAGCAGAGATCTGAATTGGAGACCCCTGCAGCATTGGAGAAGGTGTAGTCTCCTTGAGAGGCTGTGGAACCTGGGCTAGGCCTTCTTTTTGGAGCAACGAAGGCTGGCCCTCCTCAAGAGTCTCGGGGCTTTGAGGTATGTCCTCTGGCTGAAGTTCAGATGGTTCTGCCCCATCAAAGGGCTCCAGGAGCTCACCTGGGTGTTCCTCTAATTCCATCGGGAAGCCACCAGGATAGACGACATTGTCATCTAGAACATTTGTAGACCCCAGGTCATCAAAGCCACTGGGGTCTGTTTCAGTTGTCAGCGCACTGAGCAACTCATCTAGTCTACCCATAGATTGGGTAGACCAGGCCTCAGGAGTCAGCTGGACCAAGTTCTGGTCCCACTCCTGAGGAGGTGTTGCCTGTACTAACTGCAACAGCAGTATAAGCCAAAGGCTCATTTTGGTAGCGGGCGGGGAGGGGTCAGGGTTTTTTGTAAGCAGTAGATCAAACTACCAAGGGAAAAGCAATCCACCTTATTCAAAGGTGTGAAGCATATGAGAGTCCCTTGGCACCTGTTCCTTAGTAACCTTGCCTTCTGCCCCGCCCTTTACTGATGACATCTTCATTACACAGCCTTTGTTGGTCTCTGCTGCTCTGAACTTGGGCACCTTTTTCTCACAGTCACTGCTGCCCTTCTCCTGCAGGAAAGACAGCTGTTCCCACCAGATCCCCTCTATCCGCAAGGCAGGCTGAGGATCACAAGCCCAGGTGGCCCCAGGACACTAGCAGACCATTGTAGTGGGGGGAAGGAGGCAAAGCTTCCCAAGGAAGTCACAAGGCCTGGCTTCTTGGAGTATTCAGAATGGCTAGTCGGAATCTGGTAGCCAGAACTCTGCCTCCTCTTGAGTTGAAATCCAAGAGATGCTCTTCCTCTCACCAGAGCCAGCTAGGAAAGGGGCAGAATGCTTCTTATGGCTACTTACTTAAAAGTGTGTCCACTTCCTCTAGAGCCTCAGTATCCTTTCTGTCCATGTTTGATCATTCACTCACTCTATTTGGTAGGAATTACCATGAAATCAGGGACGACTCCAAGATTTTTGTAGGACCCGCCGCCACCAGGGGCGCTCCCAGCGCAGACGTCCGGGACTGTGCCAGCTGGCTTGGGGACGTGAGACTCGGGGGCGCAACCGGGAACCTTTGGTGCTGACCCTGCCCGAGCGTCTGCGAGAGACCGGGCTCTGGCTTCAGGTTGCTGCCCTCGTTTGCCCTCGGTGCCATCTACGCAATGTTGGGGCTGCCGCTTCTCCTCCTTCAGCTGACGGTCGCACCGCCCTTGTGAGTGATGTCGGAAATGCCGACCCCGTCCGAGTCTCCCAGGGCGCAGAGCTGGCAGCAGAGCGTCTCTGGGGCCGGCTGGATCCTCAGTCACCCGGAGGGTGGCGATGCCCGATGCCTGCCAGGGCTGCGCCAGCACCGGCGCCCGCGGCCACTTTTCCTGCAGCCAGAGGGGAGGGGAGGGCACGCGGCCTCGAGCTTCCTCTCCCGGGATCCTTCTATGGACCCAGCGCGCGAGGGTTGACCTGAGCGAGGAAGGGCGCCTTGGCCAAATCCCCAGGTCTCGCGCCCGGGTTCCGCTCACCTACTTCCAGGAGTTGGCGCAGGGAGAGCCGTTGGCGGCTCGGGTTCCTTGGGCCGTTAGGTGCCGAGGGCGGCAGTTGGGAGCCGAGGAGCACCGCGGCCGAAAGTGCTCCCTGCCGTTGTGCCTGCTCCCCTAGGTGAGTCGGCACCGGGAGCAAGGAGCGCAGTGCAGGAGCTGCAGTTTGCCGGGCCTGCAGCCCTCCCCGTGAATCTGCAGCGCTGGTGCTGGAGTGAGTCTGTCGCCCTCGGAGCCCTCACCCGTCCTTGCCCGCGCCTCAGCTCTGCCCCTCGGCTTGCTCCCACCCCACCGCTGCTGGCCTAGACAGCTGCTCCCACTCGTGACCCTCTCTCTGCCTTATCCCATCACCATGCCAGCGGTCATGAGTGAAGACTGCTGCTCTCATGACCCTATCTTAGTTTCCTGGCAACCTTACCCTTGCCACTCATTGCTCTGGCAACCTGAAAGCCTTATGCAGGATGTGCCCAAGATCCCCCATTTCTGGTGTCCCTGTCTCTGGCTTGGCCTTGTTATCCCTGCCCAGCTCCCCACAGTTTGATCCCAAACTCCCTACCTCTCCCCAACTCCTTCATTGTGACCCATTACAATGACCACCCCTTTCTTAGTAACTTAGTAGTCTTACCCCAAGTCTTGGAAAACATCTACCTCCCAGCCCTGTACATACTTTATCTGAGCATCACTGTGCTCCATTAGAGCCGGACCCTGTGGACTGGGGCGAGGATCCCTGTGGACGCAGGAGGGGCGAGGACATGGCAGAAGACACTGCGCGGAGTGCCCTTGAAGTTCTGCCCCTCGCTCCAAGTGTCTCCTGATGGCGCCCACCTGTGCCTGCCCCAGACGTCCTACTGGGAAGTGCCCAGCTGGGCGGCGCACTGGCACCAGGGTCAGGACCAGGAGCTGGGGCCTCCAGCACGCAGCCAGACAGGGTGGTAGTGCTGCGCTTGTGTCTAGGGTTCATGCGTTTAGTGGTTTGCCCCTTTTTTGTTGGACAGCATGTTGCAGTTTTCATGTTTTGCTTTTTTAACTCATTATAATTTTGGTTTCCCAGGGGTTGAGATGGAAGAAGAGCTTTTATAAATTTCGTGGCTGCCCACTTTCCTGCCTTCACTTTGCATAGATAAATCCGGTTTGGGTTCTTGTATTATTAAAAGGTTGTGGGTCCCTTGGCCCAAGGAGAGAGAAACCCTCTCCCAGAAGTCGTTGTAGGAGTTTTACCAGCCATTGTGTGTGCTCCCAGATTTATTCTTTTTTTAATTGCCAGGTTTGGTTTAGATTTATAATTTAAAGGTAACTGGCAATGCACTTGATAAGGTCGTGCACCTATCTGGGTGATGGAGCTGGATTCCTTTATGCTGGTGAGTGGTGAGTGCAGGGGGAGGGAGAGTGGTCGAGTGTGTGTGTGTGCGTGTGTGTACCGCACACTGTGCCCACTTCCCCTTCTGGTTTAGCTGTGGGAAGGTCTGAGTGTGGGGCCATTGGAAAGCAAAAACCAACCACTGGCTTTACTTCTGAGACGGGAATCAGTAACTACCTTTTCTGTCCCACAAGATATGCAAAAACAATGGTATGGTTGAGCATGCTTCAACAGGCTTAGTTAAGAGCATGGACATCATGGCTCCTGCACCTCAGGCCATTATGGCATTGCACTGAGTTCGAGCATGATGTACCTGACTAGCCCTTGCACCTCGCAGGACTTGTCCATTGCACGCGAGAGGGTAGTCACTCTTATAACTGCCTTGTCGAGACATTGCTCTTTACAACCGCCATGGTTGTAGCCCATGACGGGTAAGATAGACCCAGACAATTATCGGTCTAAGACAGGGACTACGTCAAGCTACGCAGCCTCCCTATGACGGATCGTGTGCCTTGAGTCTACAACCTAAGACAGGCCCATACCAGCTTATTTTAAAAGTAAAATCGTGAGTTGTGTTGGCATTAAAACTGTATCTTAAAAAAAAATACCACATGGGCCCGGCGCGGTGGCGCAAGTGGTTAAAGGTCCTCGCCTTGCATGCCCGGGATCCCATATGGGCGCCGGTTCTAATCCCGGCAGCCCCGCTTCCCTTCCAGCTCCCTGCCTGTGGCCTGGGAAAGCAGTCGAGGACAGCCCAAAGCTTTGGGAACCTGCACCCGCGTGGGAGACCCACCAGCATGTGTAAATATCTGTCCCTGGGATCAAGCCTTGGAGGGGAGCAAAGGAGATTCCCACCAAACCCCTGCTGGCCTACAGTTCTGAATGCAAGAACTGGGAATGGGGGTAGACCAGGCTGAACATAGTTGCAAAGTCCCTCAGCATGTGTGTGGGCTTGGCCTGAGGTGTGTCAGAGTGGGCTAGGCTCCAGCACCTGTGGCATTCATGAGAGCCAGAGTGGGTGTGTGATAGGCTGGGCTAGGTTGTGGCACTCATTGATTTGCATGAGAACCGGGTCTGGGGGTTCAGGCAGGGCTGGGCTGTAAAACTGCTAGCCAGTGAGGACTGGACTGTAGCAGTGAGAGCCAGATAGATTTGAGCTGGAATGGCAAGGCTGCAGTAACTGCTGGCTAATGTTGGGAACAGAAGTGAGCCAAATCAGGCTGAACCAAACACCCACCAATGTGCACAAGATCCGTGACTGAGTGTTGGTCTGACTGGGGAACTAGGGGAACTCCCCTATTAAGATGCAGTCCCGGCTGCTGGGCGTGAGGACCATGGTTGGGAGCAGGCCAGGCCAGGCCAGAGTAGGATACAGTGCCTGTCAGTAGACAAGTGGGTCAGGTCTTGGGGTTGGCCACTAGGGAACCAATGGAATAAACCTAAACAGCGACTGCTTTTTCATACTCGGGACTCCTCTGAGGACACTCTTTTTCCTCTCTTGTGTTGCTGCCATTTCATAAGCTTAAGTCTGGGTTAATTTTTCTTCCTATTTGGTACCCGTATATTGGTGACTCCTAACTTAACTGCTGGCAATACATGATTGTACAAAGACTGTCAGTTTCCTGTTAAGAAAAGCATTCTCTTCCTTTCTGACAGTTGAAGAAGCATCTGTGGGGAATCCCAAAGGGACATTGCTGAGATGTTGCAGGCCTGGAAGTGGAAGACCAGCACAGAGTTGATTATTGATCCAGAGATGGACACTTCAGAGAAATGCAACCTTGATATTCCAGACTCTACAAATGAGCAGCTAGACTTGAATGAGAAATGCGATGTTATCAGTGCACTAAGGTAACCACTGCCTTAATTCTCAGGGAGCAATCTAGAAGACTCAGTGTTGCTATCATTCATTAAGCTGCTCTTTTCAAGTCCACAAGGAGATAGATCCTTGGTTACTTAAAAAGCAAGTCAAGGGATTAATCTATAAATCCTTACAAAAGGAAATTGAGAAAGATCCACTTTCTGGAAAGGAAACATTCAAGAAAAAATGGATGAGGTTAAAAGAGAGATAAAAGCTGCCCTGCTGATGCAGAGTCTGTTAGGGAAAGGACGATTCTTCCTAAGAAAGTTATAAAGTACCCACTCACAGCACATCAGCCTGGCGCCCACCCCAAGCACAAGGCAAAGATTACAAAGAGTGAAAAAAGCCATCAAGGGGCCAAAGGGCCTAAGGAAAAGGCAGCAGCGTGAGACAATCAGGAGGAAAGAGAACGTGTGCCCCCTGGTGGAGGGCACCCTGCAAAGCCAGCTGGGAAGAGCAGGAGCCAGGGAGCAGGAGGAGCTTCATGTGGCCCAGAGGCCCTGGCACCTGGTGGCCAATGCCTTCTACCCAGAGCCCCCACTCACAGAGGAGCACAATGCCAGGGACGCCTCCTCCCTGAAGAGGAGGGCAGGCCATCTGCTGCAGCCCATGCAAAGTCTCTCTCTGAGCCAGAAGAAAGGCTGATTGACACATGAATATTTTAAAAATAGCAAAACGTAGGACAAAAAAGACAGAGGCAGCAGAACCATGCACAGCTTCAAAGTCAATTACCACTTAAGTAATATTGATCTCCCTCCAGTGTTCAAAACCCCCAAAGCCAAACGGAGACTAAAGTTGAGAAGGAAGAACTCCCTCAACACATGGAAGTCAGAATTCCATAAACCCATGGAAAAAGGCTTGCGTTGCTTGGCCTACAGAGATTCCCCTCCCCGAGAGCCTTCTCCCTCTTCTGGAGACCCGAGTTCTCAGGATTTGCCTTCCCTGGAAGCGATGGCTCTTCCAGTATCTCCTACAGAAGACATTCTTGAAGCCAGCCTTGCTGCAGCAAATTTAAACACTTTGATGGATAGAATGGCTGGCCAGAAGAATCTCCCCCTGCCAGCGCAGAGGCCGTGGCACCTGGTGGCCAACTCCTCCTACCTGGAGCCCCCAACTCACAGAGGAACAGGAAGCCAAGCCGCCTCTTCCTTGAAGAAGCACATCACGGATGGGTCACCTTCTGCAGCCCTTGCAAAGTCCCTCCCTGAGCTCAAAAACAAATGGTTAAAAGACACCATGCTTACATTAGAAAATCCAAAGGTAGAGTCAAAAAGAGGCAACAGAACCAAGCTCATATTCCAGAGTGAATTCCTGCTTACGTAAAATTGATCCTCATCCTGTCTTCAGAACCGTCAAAGTCAAACTGAGATTAACATTCAGGAGAAAAATTCCCTCAGCACAAAAATGTCAGTAAGCGGCCTCAATTCCTTGCACTACAGAGTCTCATCGACTTACCTCCTAAGCCTCTCCCTCTGCTGGAAAGTTTTCCTCCCAAGGTCTGAGGAAAGTGCTTCTTCAGAAGTGGTTGCTCTTCCAGAATCTGATAAGATGTTTCTAAAACAGCAGTGCTGCAGGAAACAATTTAAGAACCTCTGGAAGACAGCAGGGCTCTGCAAGTAGAAATACTCCTTGCCTAGATGAAGGCATAGATTAAAACTCTTCAAAAGCTTCTGGAGGCAAAGCTGGGGCCTCAGCCTGAGCTTCAGCATTGTGCTTTATTGGCAAGCCATCTTCGGCATTTGCTTGCATTGTGATGGTATTCTGTAAATGTTCAGCCCTCCTTGTGTAGCCCCTGCACTGCGGAGGCGGTTTCTGCAGGCGGGACCGCCCAGCCCAGCGCGGTGTTCAGAGCCCTCCTGGTGTGTCGCCCACCCACAGGGTATCAGGGTGTGGGGGATTCTAGACCCTCGCTGGTAGTTTCTGCGCACTGAGATGCACTGGCCCACACAGCGCGGGAATATTTGGGGCGCTTTCTTTGTGCCTTCTCAGCACCCAGGACTACTGTGCGCCACTTCCAAGGCACAGATTTGGCAGTTTCAAGGCGCTTGCCCTGTGTTCTCAGAGGCTGAAACCTCTGCAGGGGGGGAGGGTAAAAGGAGCACCCCAGAGGCTTGGGCTTTGTGCCCGCCCCTGGAAGGCTGTTAACCCTTCCCTGGCTCACCCGAACCTCCGGCTGTTGCAGTCTGCCTCTGCTGCTGTTGAAGACCTTTGCCGGTGACGATCCCTCCCGGTTTCCTTGTCTCTGGGTCGGCTGCGTCTCCTGTCGGCTGCTCTTAAAGGTGACTCAGCAGGTCTGGAGCGGGATGCCGTCTTCCCTGCCTTTTGTTTTGTTTTGTTCTCGTTGTTCTTCCGAGTTGTGTGGATCTTTTTGGCTCCACACTGTCCAGGGAACTTCACGCACCTCTCCCTGCGGTTCTTTGCTGTTCCTCTTTGCTGCTTCTGTAGCGTTCTATCCCTCTCTCACTGGGCTCTCCCTCACAGCCTTCCTCCTACGTCGGCCATCTTAAAACCCGATCTTCTGCATTTGCTTGCAATGTTATGTTATTCTGTAAATGTTCAGGTTTAGCAGCCATACTGGGCAAGTCCATGTGTTGTTGCCAGTGGTGGCGAGCTGAAGCTACGAATATTTCCTCTGCTTGCTCTGGAGGCTGAACTGTGTCTTCTTCAGGCTTGCTTTTAGGAGATTCAGCGAGTCCAATGATGTGAAAAAGAGGAGTGACTCAAATGTACTCCTTTCAAAAAATTTTAGTTTATTATAGGATAAATCCCTAGGAAAAGAAAAAGCAAAATGTCTATTAGATCTCTAGTGAGTAGGAATGAACAGAATTTGTATTTCTTAATGTTGAATATGCAGTTTTTGTCTAAACTACACCTTTGGGCATCTGTTTGAACATTCCAGAGCTCCTAATCAAACTTATAACCTCTCCTAACAGTCTCACCTTCTGGGTCTTTATAAATAAAATATACAGCATGGCTATAGCTCTTGATAAGACTCTGAAGGGAAAATTTCCTGGCAGCAAGAGATATGATCAGATGACCTTTAGTAGTCTCATCAAATTCAAGACAATGAGATCAAAGTTTGTACCTCTATCTGTAATTTCTAATATTCAGACGAATATTCTACTTTTATACCTGCCTGGTGTGGTTCTCTTTTTGGAACTAGTTCAGTTCCAGAATAAACCAGAGAACCTTTCAAATCATTTGAAGGGAAGCTACTCCTCAGATGAACTCATCATTTTGAATTAATTCAGAATTATATTATCCTTAGTAGGAATTCTTTTCTGATTTCACGTCGTCTTGACATTGCGTAAAAGCAGATTTGTTTCAGCTGCGCAGTGGCAGCAGAACAGAAAACAGCATGAACTGGATTCTTGTTGGAAAACACTCACTTGTGACCATAGTAACATGGATCCCAGCTTGCCTCACTTTTCACCCGCATGGCTGCCAACTGCCCACTGTGGCTGTCTCCATCTCTAGTCTCTCTTCTGGAACTCTCCAGAAGTGGTTCTCAAACACTGGCTTCACTTAGGCACCGAAGATGCAAATTCTCGGCCCGGATCTAGAACTCAATCAGGAACTCGGCAGGGCTGGGGTGGTAGAGACAGAACCTAGTTCTGCAAGCCCCTGGATGACGTTGATGCAGGCTCGGTTTTGCTTCAGAGCGCTGCCAGGAACACGTGGCTCTCCTGGCTGGTGACTTTTGCATGACAGTCAAAGCCCTGGAGGCTGTGGCCCCACACTCCTTACGGCTTTCCTCCGTGGACTCCACAGGTACTCATGGCGTTCCTCAGACACTCTCCCATGTTTTGCCCTTCTCTCACTTTCCTTCTGCGGTCTGAGGGTATCGCCCCACACTGTCCTCCCAATGATGCCCAGTGGCTCTACACAGTGTCCTTCCAATGATGCCCTGTTTAACCAATATCACTCTCGCTACAGCCCCCTGATCCAACTTGGAGTCTCTTTTCCCTGTTCTGTTCTCCAGAAGCAATTTGCACATCATGTCTGTGCCCTTTTCTTTTTCACATTGTTACCCTTGCCTCTCCCCTTCCTTCAAAGCATAAACACCTTGAAAGCATGGACTTGGCCTTGCTCATGCGCACTGCTTACCATGTTTCCACCTGGCTCATGGAAACAAAGCAAACTCAGATACTTAGGAAATAAAGGAATAGCTAAGGAGTGAGTGAACGGAAGGAGGAACAAGTTACTAGTTTTTTTTTCTTTTAATTTTTTTTTTCTAAATCACTAGTGTTTAAGGAATGTGGTTGCATTACTCCACTGACCCTCTGCAGTGTGTTGTCATCGACCTGTTTGTTGGATCATGTTTGATTTCTGTGCGTGTTTCCCCTGCAAGCGATCTTGCAGCTCCTAGGAGGGTAGGAAGCCTGCCTTACACATTTTAGAGCCTCAAACTAGACTAAGTGCTTAGCATTCTCTTTCAGTTATGAAAAATGATGGCATTTTAAAAAGGGATGACAATATAGATGCCGACAGAGAATAACTAGCTTGCAAAGGACTTCCCACTAAAAGCAAGGAAGGGCCTGTTGTACTGGACAGTTATTATCTCTTCTGTTTTTCTCCAGATCAGGTCTATAAGGTTTGGGAGTCCAGAAGAAAAAGATGGAAGCAATTGTCCCCTTCAGGCCTAGAGAGCTTGGTCATTCAAAGGATTATTGTTAGTGTCAGATAAGGCTGTTTCTACCCACTGTCCTTCAGCTGTATAAATTGGAAAGAAGAATCTATTTCCTAAGAGTAGCAATAATCGGCCTAATAAAGATGCATGGCATTTGGAGCCCATTGTGGTATAGTAGGTAAAACAGCCCTGCCATGCCAACATCCCAGTTGGGCCCTGGTTTGAGTTCACTGCTCCACTTTCCATCTACATTCCTGCTATATGCCTGGAAAGGCAGTGGAAGATGGCCAAATCCTTGGCATTCCTCCCCCTGACCAACCCCTCCAAATACCCAGCTATTATGCTTGAAGAATACAAAATGAATAGTATGGATTCAATGCATGAGACCCTATACATACTTACAGAATTGTTATTTTAATACTAGAAGAAACTTTAGAGATTATTGAAACACCTTATTCATTTGATAGAAAACAACTAAAATCTCAGAAATAAATGTGCTTAACCAACTTACAAGTGCTGCAGGAATAGCAAGCCTTCAAATGAATCCTTATGTAATTCAGTCAAATAATTTTCACTGAGAATCCTGGATCAAAATGAAGAATAACAACAATTTTTATTCAGGAATAACTCTGATGTGGAGGAACCCTCAGTAGGGTGCCACTTAAATGCAAGTTAGATCTTTCTCCCTTTCTCTGTAACTCTAATGAGTTTCAAGTAAAACAATTACATCTTAAAAAAAAAAAAAAAAGCCCACATATCACACTAGTTTTCCTGTGTCTAAATGATGTGCAGAAAAACATAAGAGAAGGTCTGAAGCGATGTATATCACAGTCACAGCAGCTTACTTCAGGGATGGAATGTTACACTACAAGAAGATTTTTACTGTATCAGTTTTTAGTCTCTTAAGAACATAATCATGGAGCCCAGCATGAAAGCTCAATGGCTAAATCCTCATCTTGCAAGAGCTGGGATCCAATGTGGGCACCAGTGCACGTCCCGGCTGCTCCACTTTCCATCCAACTCCCTACCTTAGGGCCTGGAAGAGCAGTAGAAGATGGCCTAAAGCCTTAGGACCCTGAACCCAGAAGAGAGAGCCAGCAGAGGCTCTTGGCTCCTGGCTTCACCTCGGCTCAGCTCTGCCTGTGGAGGCCACTTGGAAAGTGAGCCAACAGATACAGAATCTTTCTGTCTCTCCTCTTTGTAAGAATAATTTGTCCAACAAAAGCAAAGAAATCTTAAATAAAAAATAATATAATCATGTATTACTTACAAGATGAAAAATAAACTTCAGTGGTCTCATTGCAAATACTGTGTTTTAGAACTGTAATAAGTAGAGGTTGATTTGTTAACATGAAGGGGTAAATACCTTTTCCAAGACATTCTGACCTCTAATACTGGACCAAAGAGTTTAAGATGCAGTTACTTTGTTTTTGTATCCATATTTAGAGAGAATATACTCACAAAGTCTCAGCCCAGCGATATGCTTTCCATACATTTTTGTCAATGTAGGATATAGCGTTCCCTTGGAAATTTCTGTAAAGAAGCACAGTTCATATCCTTGAATAGATAGGAACACAATGAACAGAACAAGGAAAACACTCGTAGCAACTTCATGGGGATATTGAATATGGATATTACTACCAGCTTTCTAGTTTCTAGAGCTTCACCTGATGGCAGGCACAATTAAGAAAGAAGAACATGGGGTCCTGGCACAAACGTTGAGGTGTCCCTTCAGAAGCTTAACTTCCTCTTTGTGCAATCTCTTTGATAGATAATGCCAATCAGTTGCATTTGAGGGACATACTGCCTCCAAAATTCCCTGGGTGTCTAAACTGGTCCTTTTGCAAATCAGTAAGAAAATAATTCAGCTGAGAACAATGGATCAATTTATCTTCAGCAGCAAATAAGAATAAAGAAACTCCAACGTACAGTAATTCTAACACTTTGGCCAAGTACCTTCTACTGCAATTATTCTACCTACGTGAATGGACATGGACAATGCAAAATCAGATGGACTAATGTGTTGACACGAATGGGTCACTGGCCATAGCCATGGTGAGGGATGGAAAAATCAAATGACTGAGCCAGGAGCAAAACATCACCTCCCTCAGGGAAAAGTGCAAGGGAGAGAAACTGGAAGGAGGGACACATATCCTCATGGAGATGGGAGTGACTTATGGATAGTGGAGTAGAGAGGATAGGATGATAAAGGGTGTGGGGGTGTAGATTCTGATATTTTTCTCTTTGTTCCATGATCCTTTGGCAAAGTAAGAATGTACCCATGAATCATCCACATTCCAAAGCAATCTTAAATACTGTAAGTTTCAAGTCTGGGTAACTTTGAGTCTTTACCTGTGCTTCTGTCTTCACTCCATCATCAGCAGTGCACCTGCATGGCTTATGTACAACACGGTTGTACCTGCGTGTTCTGCCTGGTGGACATTCCCATTCAACCAGAAGGCTTTGCTCTATGTTCACCAACATAAAGTATTAAAACTGAACACACCTCCCTCAGATTGCCTCTCCTTTCTGATTGCTGTCTGCACCTGTGAGGCAACTCACTCTCACCAGCACCCAGGACAAAGCTTGCAGTCATATTTTTTCTTCTGTGCATACATCCACCCACCAGCCTTTGATCAGTTTCTAGGTCCATCCGGCCTTTTTCATCTCAGGGACTTTCTTTTCATTCCTATCAGAGCTGGTGACTTGGTCTCATTCTCATTTTATTCCTTGATTTTACTAGAGGTCTTTTTTTTTAATGTCCCTGAAGTAAGCTTTCCTCTCTAGATGACTCTCCATATAGTGTCTAAAATCATATTTCTGAAACAGGCATTTGGCCTAGTAACTAAAACACATCTCACGTCAGAGTGCCTGGGCTCCTACCTGGCTCCAGTTACTGACTTCAGCTTTCTGCCCACACACACCCAGAAGGTAGTGGAGCTGGCTCCAATAGCTGCCCTCCTGCCACCCTCATGGCAGACCTGGGTTGGGTTCTTAGCCCACTTTGACCAACCCAGTGCCTGCTGTTCAGGCATTTAGAGAATGAACTAGCAAATGGAAACTCTCTCTCTGAATCTGTCTCTCTGCCTTTTGAGTAAATGCACAGAAAAAAATTAAGACAATGATCAATTTCTTTTAAAATTTTTAAAAATAATCTTTCTGTTGGGCCCGGCGCCGTGGCGCAGTGGTTAAGGTCCTTGCCAGGCACGCCCGGGATCCCATATGGGCACCGGTTCTAATCCCGGCAGCCCCGCTTCCCTTCCAGCTCCCTGCCTGTGGCCCGGGAAAGCAGTCGAGGACGGCCCAAAGCTTTGGGACCCTGCACCCGTGTGGGAGACCCGGAAGAGGCTCCTGGCTTCGGATCAGCATAGCATCGGCCCGTTGCGCTCACTTGGGGAGTGAATCATCGGACGGAAGATCTTCCTCTCTGTCTCTCCTCTCTGTATATCCGCCTTTCCAATAAAAAATAATAATAATAAATCTTTAAAAAAAAAATAATCTTTCTGTTTTGATCACCTCTCTCTTGCTTGAAAACTTTCAGGGTTTTCTGCAGCTCATAGTATAACTCTGAAACCCCTGTAGCTGATATTCAAGGTTGTTCATTTAATATCTTTCATTGCTTTGTAAGTCAGTTCTTGGCAGACAAGCTGTCTACTAAGCCTTGCTGATTCCAATAGTCAAGGGTAACAGGTCAGGCTGTCAGGATGCTGGCATCCCATACATATGTGGGTACCGGTTTGATGACCAGCTTCTCCACTTCCTATCCAGCTCCCCACTAATGTGCCTGGGAATACAGTGGAAAATGGCTCAAGTGCTTGGGCCCCTGAACCCACACAGGAGACCCAGAAGAAGCTCTTGCTCCTTACCTTTGGCCTGGCCCAGCCCCAGCCATTGTGGCAATATGAGGAGTAAAGCAGCAGAAGTAAGATCACTTTTTCTAGATCTCTCTTCTTGCTGTAATTCTGCCTTTCCAGTAAATCTAGTAGTTTTTTTTTTTAAGAGAAGGAGAAGGAAAGGTGACAAGAAAAATGTCACAATAGGAAGTCAGGAAATACAGGTTGAGTCAGGAGGAAGGCCCAGCAAGGTACTGAGCAAAAGGCTACCATGACAGACAAGATCTAGAGAACTCTGAGGAAGGGTAGTTCTTACAAGATGGTGAAGGTGTCATTGTGGGCACTGAAGGATCCTGGCACAGGCACTTGGTGGAGCTTCTGCCACGGGCTGAGATTGGTACATGACAGCATTCCATTTTTGCAGGTACAGAGCTCGCAGATGTCCGTGCTGTTGGGGGTGCTTTCTTTTGACTCAATGAAAGTAGTTAGCCGGGTAGCATACTCAGCAGCCTTGACTTCAGGATACAAAGTTGGAAACTGCCCTGCAGGTGGAGCTGTAGTCTTCAGGATTTTAGAAGGGCCAACCTCTGGAGCAGGGACTGGAGCTTTGATAGGCTCCAACTCTGAAGGCTGACCCGTGACTCGGGAATCTGAAGGCTGACCCGTGACTCCGGTTGATGTTGCTACAGTTACTATATCACTAGTTGGCTCTGGTGGCCGAGTTAGAGTAACCGAAATAGTTGTAGGCTTGACCTCTGTAGATAAATTGAGAGGATTGCCTGTGACTTGCTGAGTCTGGCTCCGGTCTGTATATGTAGGTGGCACCTCAGAATGCCTTGGAGGTGCTGCTGATGTAGTCTCCAGGGCTGTAGACTGTTCAGCCAACGTGGTGGGTTCTGGGATTTTGAAAATTTCTGTCTTCACAGCTTCAACTGTGACACTGACTGGCACTATATGCTGAATTGGAGCTACAACCTCCAATGGAGGCTCTGGAGGCTGAGCTGAGGTCTTCTGCAGGGCTGGAGATGATTCAACTTCCGCAATTCTGGATTGAAAAGCCAGCTGAATATCAAACGCCTGAACTGTGACTTCAGTCAGGTTTGGATGCTGCGCCTGAACCAGCTCTGCCTGTGGAAGTGTCACCTCAGGGACACCTGGAGGTGGTGTTTTGGCATTCCTCGGGGCTGTAGAATGTTCGACCTCCACAGCAGGACTCGGGTTTAGATGCTGAGTCAGAATTGCATCTGGACTCGTTCCTGTAGGTTCTTTCAGGGCGGTTGCATGCTCAGCCTCTGCAGTGGGTTCTGGACCATTGGTAGGTGTAGGTGGTAGGTTCAAGGTCTGATCTGTGACACTGGGTGTCACTGGAGGTTGAGGTGGAGCTGGCGTTGGAACGGCCACCTCTTGCAACACTGGAGGTTGAGCTCCCACCTCTGTAGATGGCTCTGTAAGCTGCACAGGGGTCTCCTGAGTGGTTGGAGCCTGGTCAACCTCTATATTGAGTTCTGGAGTTGGGGTATTTCCCAGGTCCCAATGTGCAACTGTGACCTTGGGCAGGGCTGCATGGTGAGTCTGGACCTGGTCTGGATGTGAAATCTCAGAGTCCAGAGTTGTTGTGGTCTTCAGGGCTGTAGAATGTTCAGCCTCCACACTGGGTCCTGGAGTTATAGTCAGCTGCAGCTTCAAAGGCTGAAAGGTGACCCTGGGTAATATTAGATACGGAGCCTGTTCCTGAGCTGGTTTGGGGACCGTTGCCTCCTCATCTACAGATTCTTGAAGTGGCTCTCGAGGTTGGGTTAGGGGCTCCGAAGAAATGACACCCTCTGTAGTAGGAGATGGAGTCAGGTAATATACTTGGGGTTGGCTTTTGGAACCCACAGTCATTTCCGGATGTTGAGCGGACACTTTCAGCCGTGGTGGAGACGGAAGGGTGATCGGAAGGGCCTCCAGGGGTTCAGCTGGAGATTCCCATTCTGTAGGGATAGGCTCTATCTCCTTAGGGGAAGCTGCAGTCTCATCCATGGCCTCTGGCTCAGCTGCAGAAGGTAAGGCTGGGTAAGGCTCAACCTCTGAAGGTGAAGTGAAGGTGACCTCAGGATCTACTGACTTATCCATACTTGTGGAAACTGTTGAGTGGTCACCTCCTTTCAGGAGTGTCAGGTCCAGCTCATTGTTCCCCGAGGCCTGAGCTGCAACTTCCTGTTGGCTTGAAAGTTATAGCCTCGGTCATGGTCTCTGCAGGGTTAACAGACACACTCGGCAATGTTGGAGACTGACCTTCAGGAGGAACTGTCGCCTCATGAGACTCTGCAGGTGGAGATTTCACTTCTTCGGTCTCTGACACCGGAGCTGGAGCTTCCTGCTGGGCTGGAGACAGTCTGATTTCCTCAGATGAGGGTTCCTCTTCCTGAGGTATTTCTGATGAAGAAATAGACTCAACCTCTTCAAAAGCTTCTGGAGGCGCAGCTGGGGCCTCAGGCTGAGCTTCAGCATTGTGCCTTATTGGCAAGCCATCTTCTGTATCTGCTTGCATTGTACTCTGCAAACGTGCAGGTTTAGCAGGCATACTGGGTAAGTCCATGTGTTGTTGCCAGTGGTGGTGAGCTGAAGCTACGAATATTTCCTCCTGGTGCTCTGGAGGCTGAACTGTGTCCTCCCCAGGCTGGCCTTTAGGAGATTCAGCAGGTCCAATGGACTCGGATGGCTGAGCAAACTGTTCCTGCTGGCCTGGAGAAGGTTCTGCCTCCAACGAAGGCTCAGCATCCTGAGTTGGCTGTTCCAGCTGGGTGGGAGGAGATGTGACCTCCACAGAAGGACGTGCACTCTGAGCTGGGGTCACCTGGTGGCCTGGAAGAGATTCTGTTCCCACAGATGGGCCTGGAGCGGGAGGAATTGGGGCCACCTGCTGGCCTAGAGGTTCCACCTCCACTGAAGGCTCAGCATACTGAGCAGACTCCTCTTGATTACTCGGGAAAGGCTCTAGGTCTACAGAAGGGCCTGGAGTCTGAGCTGGAGCCTCTTGTGGGATTGAGGGAGGGGATTCCCCTTGCGAGATCCCTGCAGGCTGAACTGGGGCCTGCAGCTGGCCCAGAGTACTTTGAACTTCACCACCTGGCTGTAGCGTAATTGTGAGCATCACATCCGCTGGCCTCCCTGTGATGCTTGGCAAAGTAGATTGCAGCGGTGGACGTGGAACACTGATCTCGTTTTGAACAAGCTGCCGGACAGCTTCTTCAGCAGCAGAGATCTGAATTGGAGACCCCTGCAGCATTGGAGAAGGTGTAGTCTCCTTGAGAGGCTGTGGAACCTGGGCTAGGCCTTCTTTTTGGAGCAACGAAGGCTGGCCCTCCTCAAGAGTCTCGGGGCTTTGAGGTATGTCCTCTGGCTGAAGTTCAGATGGTTCTGCCCCATCAAAGGGCTCCAGGAGCTCACCTGGGTGTTCCTCTAATTCCATCGGGAAGCCACCAGGATAGACGACATTGTCATCTAGAACATTTGTAGACCCCAGGTCATCAAAGCCACTGGGGTCTGTTTCAGTTGTCAGCGCACTGAGCAACTCATCTAGTCTACCCATAGATTGGGTAGACCAGGCCTCAGGAGTCAGCTGGACCAAGTTCTGGTCCCACTCCTGAGGAGGTGTTGCCTGTACTAACTGCAACAGCAGTATAAGCCAAAGGCTCATTTTGGTAGCGGGCGGGGAGGGGTCAGGGTTTTTTGTAAGCAGTAGATCAAACTACCAAGGGAAAAGCAATCCACCTTATTCAAAGGTGTGAAGCATATGAGAGTCCCTTGGCACCTGTTCCTTAGTAACCTTGCCTTCTGCCCCGCCCTTTACTGATGACATCTTCATTACACAGCCTTTGTTGGTCTCTGCTGCTCTGAACTTGGGCACCTTTTTCTCACAGTCACTGCTGCCCTTCTCCTGCAGGAAAGACAGCTGTTCTCACCAGATTCCCTCTATCCGCAAGGCAGGCTGAGGATCACAAGCCCAGGTGGCCCCAGGACACTAGCAGACCATTGTAGTGGGGGGAAGGAGGCAAAGCTTCCCAAGGAAGTCACAAGGCCTGGCTTCTTGGAGTATTCAGAATGGCTAGTCGGAATCTGGTAGCCAGAACTCTGCCTCCTCTTGAGTTGAAATCCAAGAGATGCTCTTCCTCTCACCAGAGCCAGCTAGGAAAGGGGCAGAATGCTTCTTATGGCTACTTACTTAAAAGTGTGTCCACTTCCTCTAGAGCCTCAGTATCCTTTCTGTCCATGTTTGATCATTCACTCACTCTATTTGGTAGGAATTACCATGAAATCAGGGACGACTCCAAGATTTTTGTAGGACCCGCCGCCACCAGGGGCGCTCCCAGCGCAGACGTCCGGGACTGTGCCAGCTGGCTTGGGGACGTGAGACTCGGGGGCGCAACCGGGAACCTTTGGTGCTGACCCTGCCCGAGCGTCTGCGAGAGACCGGGCTCTGGCTTCAGGTTGCTGCCCTCGTTTGCCCTCGGTGCCATCTACGCAATGTTGGGGCTGCCGCTTCTCCTCCTTCAGCTGACGGTCGCACCGCCCTTGTGAGTGATGTCGGAAATGCCGACCCCGTCCGAGTCTCCCAGGGCGCAGAGCTGGCAGCAGAGCGTCTCTGGGGCCGGCTGGATCCTCAGTCACCCGGAGGGTGGCGATGCCCGATGCCTGCCAGGGCTGCGCCAGCACCGGCGCCCGCGGCCACTTTTCCTGCAGCCAGAGGGGAGGGGAGGGCACGCGGCCTCGAGCTTCCTCTCCCGGGATCCTTCTATGGACCCAGCGCGCGAGGGTTGACCTGAGCGAGGAAGGGCGCCTTGGCCAAATCCCCAGGTCTCGCGCCCGGGTTCCGCTCACCTACTTCCAGGAGTTGGCGCAGGGAGAGCCGTTGGCGGCTCGGGTTCCTTGGGCCGTTAGGTGCCGAGGGCGGCAGTTGGGAGCCGAGGAGCACCGCGGCCGAAAGTGCTCCCTGCCGTTGTGCCTGCTCCCCTAGGTGAGTCGGCACCGGGAGCAAGGAGCGCAGTGCAGGAGCTGCAGTTTGCCGGGCCTGCAGCCCTCCCCGTGAATCTGCAGCGCTGGTGCTGGAGTGAGTCTGTCGCCCTCGGAGCCCTCACCCGTCCTTGCCCGCGCCTCAGCTCTGCCCCTCGGCTTGCTCCCACCCCACCGCTGCTGGCCTAGACAGCTGCTCCCACTCGTGACCCTCTCTCTGCCTTATCCCATCACCATGCCAGCGGTCATGAGTGAAGACTGCTGCTCTCATGACCCTATCTTAGTTTCCTGGCAACCTTACCCTTGCCACTCATTGCTCTGGCAACCTGAAAGCCTTATGCAGGATGTGCCCAAGATCCCCCATTTCTGGTGTCCCTTGTCTCTGGCTTGGCTTTGTTATCCCATTCTCCCACAGTCCCTGCCCAGCTCCCCACAGTTTGATCCCAAACTCCCTACCTCTCCCCAACTCCTTCATTTGTGACCCATTACAATGACCACCCCTTTCTTAGTAACTTAGTAGTCTTACCCCAAGTCTTGGAAAACATCTACCTCCCAGCCCTGTACATACTTTATCTGAGCATCACTGTGCTCCATTAGAGCCGGACCCTGTGGACTGGGGCGAGGATCCCTGTGGACGCAGGAGGGGCGAGGACATGGCAGAAGGCACTGCGCGGAGTGCCCTTGAAGTTCTGCCCCTCGCTCCAAGTGTCTCCTGATGGCGCCCACCTGTGCCTGCCCCAGACGTCCTACTGGGAAGTGCCCAGCTGGGCGGCGCACTGGCACCAGGGTCAGGACCAGGAGCTGGGGCCTCCAGCACGCAGCCAGACAGGGTGGTAGTGCTGCGCTTGTGTCTAGGGTTCATGCGTTTAGTGGTTTGCCCCTTTTTTGTTGGACAGCATGTTGCAGTTTTCATGTTTTGCTTTTTTAACTCATTATAATTTTGGTTTCCCAGGGGTTGAGATGGAAGAAGAGCTTTTATAAATTTCGTGGCTGCCCACTTTCCTGCCTTCACTTTGCATAGATAAATCCGGTTTGGGTTCTTGTATTATTAAAAGGTTGTGGGTCCCTTGGCCCAAGGAGAGAGAAACCCTCTCCCAGAAGTCGTTGTAGGAGTTTTACCAGCCATTGTGTGTGCTCCCAGATTTATTCTTTTTTTAATTGCCAGGTTTGGTTTAGATTTATAATTTAAAGGTAACTGGCAATGCACTTGATAAGGTCGTGCACCTATCTGGGTGATGGAGCTGGATTCCTTTATGCTGGTGAGTGGTGAGTGCAGGGGGAGGGAGAGTGGTCGAGTGTGTGTGTGTGCGTGTGTGTACCGCACACTGTGCCCACTTCCCCTTCTGGTTTAGCTGTGGGAAGGTCTGAGTGTGGGGCCATTGGAAAGCAAAAACCAACCACTGGCTTTACTTCTGAGACGGGAATCAGTAACTACCTTTTCTGTCCCACAAGATATGCAAAAACAATGGTATGGTTGAGCATGCTTCAACAGGCTTAGTTAAGAGCATGGACATCATGGCTCCTGCACCTCAGGCCATTATGGCATTGCACTGAGTTCGAGCATGATGTACCTGACTAGCCCTTGCACCTCGCAGGACTTGTCCATTGCACGCGAGAGGGTAGTCACTCTTATAACTGCCTTGTCGAGACATTGCTCTTTACAACCGCCATGGTTGTAGCCCATGACGGGTAAGATAGACCCAGACAATTATCGGTCTAAGACAGGGACTACGTCAAGCTACGCAGCCTCCCTATGACGGATCGTGTGCCTTGAGTCTACAACCTAAGACAGGCCCATACCAGCTTATTTTAAAAGTAAAATCGTGAGTTGTGTTGGCATTAAAACTGTATCTTAAAAAAAAATACCACATGGGCCCGGCGCGGTGGCGCAAGTGGTTAAAGGTCCTCGCCTTGCATGCCCGGGATCCCATATGGGCGCCGGTTCTAATCCCGGCAGCCCCGCTTCCCTTCCAGCTCCCTGCCTGTGGCCTGGGAAAGCAGTCGAGGACAGCCCAAAGCTTTGGGAACCTGCACCCGCGTGGGAGACCCACCAGCATGTGTAAATATCTGTCCCTGGGATCAAGCCTTGGAGGGGAGCAAAGGAGATTCCCACCAAACCCCTGCTGGCCTACAGTTCTGAATGCAAGAACTGGGAATGGGGGTAGACCAGGCTGAACATAGTTGCAAAGTCCCTCAGCATGTGTGTGGGCTTGGCCTGAGGTGTGTCAGAGTGGGCTAGGCTCCAGCACCTGTGGCATTCATGAGAGCCAGAGTGGGTGTGTGATAGGCTGGGCTAGGTTGTGGCACTCATTGATTTGCATGAGAACCGGGTCTGGGGGTTCAGGCAGGGCTGGGCTGTAAAACTGCTAGCCAGTGAGGACTGGACTGTAGCAGTGAGAGCCAGATAGATTTGAGCTGGAATGGCAAGGCTGCAGTAACTGCTGGCTAATGTTGGGAACAGAAGTGAGCCAAATCAGGCTGAACCAAACACCCACCAATGTGCACAAGATCCGTGACTGAGTGTTGGTCTGACTGGGGAACTAGGGGAACTCCCCTATTAAGATGCAGTCCCGGCTGCTGGGCGTGAGGACCATGGTTGGGAGCAGGCCAGGCCAGGCCAGAGTAGGATACAGTGCCTGTCAGTAGACAAGTGGGTCAGGTCTTGGGGTTGGCCACTAGGGAACCAATGGAATAAACCTAAACAGCGACTGCTTTTTCATACTCGGGACTCCTCTGAGGACACTCTTTTTCCTCTCTTGTGTTGCTGCCATTTCATAAGCTTAAGTCTGGGTTAATTTTTCTTCCTATTTGGTACCCGTATATTGGTGACTCCTAACTTAACTGCTGGCAATACATGATTGTACAAAGACTGTCAGTTTCCTGTTAAGAAAAGCATTCTCTTCCTTTCTGACAGTTGAAGAAGCATCTGTGGGGAATCCCAAAGGGACATTGCTGAGATGTTGCAGGCCTGGAAGTGGAAGACCAGCACAGAGTTGATTATTGATCCAGAGATGGACACTTCAGAGAAATGCAACCTTGATATTCCAGACTCTACAAATGAGCAGCTAGACTTGAATGAGAAATGCGATGTTATCAGTGCACTAAGGTAACCACTGCCTTAATTCTCAGGGAGCAATCTAGAAGACTCAGTGTTGCTATCATTCATTAAGCTGCTCTTTTCAAGTCCACAAGGAGATAGATCCTTGGTTACTTAAAAAGCAAGTCAAGGGATTAATCTATAAATCCTTACAAAAGGAAATTGAGAAAGATCCACTTTCTGGAAAGGAAACATTCAAGAAAAAATGGATGAGGTTAAAAGAGAGATAAAAGCTGCCCTGCTGATGCAGAGTCTGTTAGGGAAAGGACGATTCTTCCTAAGAAAGTTATAAAGTACCCACTCACAGCACATCAGCCTGGCGCCCACCCCAAGCACAAGGCAAAGATTACAAAGAGTGAAAAAAGCCATCAAGGGGCCAAAGGGCCTAAGGAAAAGGCAGCAGCGTGAGACAATCAGGAGGAAAGAGAACGTGTGCCCCCTGGTGGAGGGCACCCTGCAAAGCCAGCTGGGAAGAGCAGGAGCCAGGGAGCAGGAGGAGCTTCATGTGGCCCAGAGGCCCTGGCACCTGGTGGCCAATGCCTTCTACCCAGAGCCCCCACTCACAGAGGAGCACAATGCCAGGGACGCCTCCTCCCTGAAGAGGAGGGCAGGCCATCTGCTGCAGCCCATGCAAAGTCTCTCTCTGAGCCAGAAGAAAGGCTGATTGACACATGAATATTTTAAAAATAGCAAAACGTAGGACAAAAAAGACAGAGGCAGCAGAACCATGCACAGCTTCAAAGTCAATTACCACTTAAGTAATATTGATCTCCCTCCAGTGTTCAAAACCCCCAAAGCCAAACGGAGACTAAAGTTGAGAAGGAAGAACTCCCTCAACACATGGAAGTCAGAATTCCATAAACCCATGGAAAAAGGCTTGCGTTGCTTGGCCTACAGAGATTCCCCTCCCCGAGAGCCTTCTCCCTCTTCTGGAGACCCGAGTTCTCAGGATTTGCCTTCCCTGGAAGCGATGGCTCTTCCAGTATCTCCTACAGAAGACATTCTTGAAGCCAGCCTTGCTGCAGCAAATTTAAACACTTTGATGGATAGAATGGCTGGCCAGAAGAATCTCCCCCTGCCAGCGCAGAGGCCGTGGCACCTGGTGGCCAACTCCTCCTACCTGGAGCCCCCAACTCACAGAGGAACAGGAAGCCAAGCCGCCTCTTCCTTGAAGAAGCACATCACGGATGGGTCACCTTCTGCAGCCCTTGCAAAGTCCCTCCCTGAGCTCAAAAACAAATGGTTAAAAGACACCATGCTTACATTAGAAAATCCAAAGGTAGAGTCAAAAAGAGGCAACAGAACCAAGCTCATATTCCAGAGTGAATTCCTGCTTACGTAAAATTGATCCTCATCCTGTCTTCAGAACCGTCAAAGTCAAACTGAGATTAACATTCAGGAGAAAAATTCCCTCAGCACAAAAATGTCAGTAAGCGGCCTCAATTCCTTGCACTACAGAGTCTCATCGACTTACCTCCTAAGCCTCTCCCTCTGCTGGAAAGTTTTCCTCCCAAGGTCTGAGGAAAGTGCTTCTTCAGAAGTGGTTGCTCTTCCAGAATCTGATAAGATGTTTCTAAAACAGCAGTGCTGCAGGAAACAATTTAAGAACCTCTGGAAGACAGCAGGGCTCTGCAAGTGGAAATACTCCTTGCCTAGATGAAGGCATAGATTAAAACTCTTCAAAAGCTTCTGGAGGCAAAGCTGGGGCCTCAGCCTGAGCTTCAGCATTGTGCTTTATTGGCAAGCCATCTTCGGCATTTGCTTGCATTGTGATGGTATTCTGTAAATGTTCAGCCCTCCTTGTGTAGCCCCTGCACTGCGGAGGCGGTTTCTGCAGGCGGGACCGCCTAGCCCAGCGCGGTGTTCAGAGCCCTCCTGGTGTGTCACCCACCCACAGGGTATCAGGGTGTGGGGGATTCTAGACCCTCGCTGGTAGTTTCTGTGCACTGAGATGCACTGGCCCACACAGCGCGGGAATATTTGGGGCGCTTTCTTTGTGCCTTCTCAGCACCCAGGACTACTGTGCGCCACTTCCAAGGCACAGATTCGGCAGTTTCAAGGCGCTTGCCCTGTGTTCTCAGAGGCTGAAACCTCTGCAGGGGGGGAGGGTAAAAGGAGCACCCCAGAGGCTTGGGCTTTGTGCCCGCCCCTGGAAGGCTGTTAACCCTTCCCTGGCTCACCCGAACCTCCGGCTGTTGCAGTCTGCCTCTGCTGCTGTTGAAGACCTTTGCCGGTGACGATCCCTCCCGGTTTCCTTGTCTCTGGGTCGGCTGCGTCTCCTGTCGGCTGCTCTTAAAGGTGACTCAGCAGGTCTGGAGCGGGATGCCGTCTTCCCTGCCTTTTGTTTTGTTTTGTTCTCGTTGTTCTTCCGAGTTGTGTGGATCTTTTTGGCTCCACACTGTCCAGGGAACTTCACGCACCTCTCCCTGCGGTTCTTTGCTGTTCCTCTTTGCTGCTTCTGTAGCGTTCTATCCCTCTCTCACTGGGCTCTCCCTCACAGCCTTCCTCCTACGTCGGCCATCTTAAAACCCGATCTTCTGCATTTGCTTGCAATGTTATGTTATTCTGTAAATGTTCAGGTTTAGCAGCCATACTGGGCAAGTCCATGTGTTGTTGCCAGTGGTGGCGAGCTGAAGCTACGAATATTTCCTCTGCTTGCTCTGGAGGCTGAACTGTGTCTTCTTCAGGCTTGCTTTTAGGAGATTCAGCGAGTCCAATGATGTGAAAAAGAGGAGTGACTCAAATGTACTCCTTTCAAAAAATTTTAGTTTATTATAGGATAAATCCCTAGGAAAAGAAAAAGCAAAATGTCTATTAGATCTCTAGTGAGTAGGAATGAACAGAATTTGTATTTCTTAATGTTGAATATGCAGTTTTTGTCTAAACCACACCTTTGGGCATCTGTTTGAACATTCCAGAGCTCCTAATCAAACTTATAACCTCTCCTAACAGTCTCACCTTCTGGGTCTTTATAAATAAAATATACAGCATGGCTATAGCTCTTGATAAGACTCTGAAGGGAAAATTTCCTGGCAGCAAGAGATATGATCAGATGACCTTTAGTAGTCTCATCAAATTCAAGACAATGAGATCAAAGTTTGTACCTCTATCTGTAATTTCTAATATTCAGACGAATATTCTACTTTTATACCTGCCTGGTGTGGTTCTCTTTTTGGAACTAGTTCAGTTCCAGAATAAACCAGAGAACCTTTCAAATCATTTGAAGGGAAGCTACTCCTCAGATGAACTCATCATTTTGAATTAATTCAGAATTATATTATCCTTAGTAGGAATTCTTTTCTGATTTCACGTCGTCTTGACATTGCGTAAAAGCAGATTTGTTTCAGCTGCGCAGTGGCAGCAGAACAGAAAACAGCATGAACTGGATTCTTGTTGGAAAACACTCACTTGTGACCATAGTAACATGGATCCCAGCTTGCCTCACTTTTCACCCGCATGGCTGCCAACTGCCCACTGTGGCTGTCTCCATCTCTAGTCTCTCTTCTGGAACTCTCCAGAAGTGGTTCTCAAACACTGGCTTCACTTAGGCACCGAAGATGCAAATTCTCGGCCCGGATCTAGAACTCAATCAGGAACTCGGCAGGGCTGGGGTGGTAGAGACAGAACCTAGTTCTGCAAGCCCCTGGATGACGTTGATGCAGGCTCGGTTTTGCTTCAGAGCGCTGCCAGGAACACGTGGCTCTCCTGGCTGGTGACTTTTGCATGACAGTCAAAGCCCTGGAGGCTGTGGCCCCACACTCCTTACGGCTTTCCTCCGTGGACTCCACAGGTACTCATGGCGTTCCTCAGACACTCTCCCATGTTTTGCCCTTCTCTCACTTTCCTTCTGCGGTCTGAGGGTATCGCCCCACACTGTCCTCCCAATGATGCCCAGTGGCTCTACACAGTGTCCTTCCAATGATGCCCTGTTTAACCAATATCACTCTCGCTACAGCCCCCTGATCCAACTTGGAGTCTCTTTTCCCTGTTCTGTTCTCCAGAAGCAATTTGCACATCATGTCTGTGCCCTTTTCTTTTTCACATTGTTACCCTTGCCTCTCCCCTTCCTTCAAAGCATAAACACCTTGAAAGCATGGACTTGGCCTTGTTCATGCGCACTGCTTACCATGTTTCCACCTGGCTCATGGAAACAAAGCAAACTCAGATACTTAGGAAATAAAGGAATAGCTAAGGAGTGAGTGAACGGAAGGAGGAACAAGTTACTAGTTTTTTTTTCTTTTAATTTTTTTTTTCTAAATCACTAGTGTTTAAGGAATGTGGTTGCATTACTCCACTGACCCTCTGCAGTGTGTTGTCATCGACCTGTTTGCTGGATCATGTTTGATTTCTGTGCGTGTTTCCCCTGCAAGCGATCTTGCAGCTCCTAGGAGGGTAGGAAGCCTGCCTTACACATTTTAGAGCCTCAAACTAGACTAAGTGCTTAGCATTCTCTTTCAGTTATGAAAAATGATGGCATTTTAAAAAGGGATGACAATATAGATGCCGACAGAGAATAACTAGCTTGCAAAGGACTTCCCACTAAAAGCAAGGAAGGGCCTGTTGTACTGGACAGTTATTATCTCTTCTGTTTTTCTCCAGATCAGGTCTATAAGGTTTGGGAGTCCAGAAGAAAAAGATGGAAGCAATTGTCCCCTTCAGGCCTAGAGAGCTTGGTCATTCAAAGGATTATTGTTAGTGTCAGATGAGGCTGTTTCTACCCACTGTCCTTCAGCTGTATAAATTGGAAAGAAGAATCTATTTCCTAAGAGTAGCAATAATCGGCCTAATAAAGATGCATGGCATTTGGAGCCCATTGTGGTATAGTAGGTAAAACAGCCCTGCCATGCCAACATCCCAGTTGGGCCCTGGTTTGAGTTCACTGCTCCACTTTCCATCTACATTCCTGCTATATGCCTGGAAAGGCAGTGGAAGATGGCCAAATCCTTGGCATTCCTCCCCCTGACCAACCCCTCCAAATACCCAGCTATTACGCTTGAAGAATACAAAATGAATAGTATGGATTCAATGCATGAGACCCTATACATACTTACAGAATTGTTATTTTAATACTAGAAGAAACTTTAGAGATTATTGAAACACCTTATTCATTTGATAGAAAACAACTAAAATCTCAGAAATAAATGTGCTTAACTAACTTACAAGTGCTGCAGGAATAGCAAGCCTTCAAATGAATCCTTATGTAATTCAGTCAAATAATTTTCACTGAGAATCCTGGATCAAAATGAAGAATAACAACAATTTTTATTCAGGAATAACTCTGATGTGGAGGAACCCTCAGTAGGGTGCCACTTAAATGCAAGTTAGATCTTTCTCCCTTTCTCTGTAACTCTAATGAGTTTCAAGTAAAACAATTACATCTTAAAAAAAAAAAAAAAAGCCCACATATCACACTAGTTTTCCTGTGTCTAAATGATGTGCAGAAAAACATAAGAGAAGGTCTGAAGCGATGTATATCACAGTCACAGCAGCTTACTTCAGGGATGGAATGTTACACTACAAGAAGATTTTTACTGTATCAGTTTTTAGTCTCTTAAGAACATAATCATGGAGCCCAGCATGAAAGCTCAATGGCTAAATCCTCATCTTGCAAGAGCTGGGATCCAATGTGGGCACCAGTGCACGTCCCGGCTGCTCCACTTTCCATCCAACTCCCTACCTTAGGGCCTGGAAGAGCAGTAGAAGATGGCCTAAAGCCTTAGGACCCTGAACCCATAAGAGAGAGCCAGCAGAGGCTCTTGGCTCCTGGCTTCACCTCGGCTCAGCTCTGCCTGTGGAGGCCACTTGGAAAGTGAGCCAACAGATAACAGAATCTTTCTGTCTCTCCTCTTTGTAAGAATAATTTGTCCAACAAAAGCAAAGAAATCTTAAATAAAAAATAATATAATCATGTATTACTTACAAGATGAAAAATAAACTTCAGTGGTCTCATTGCAAATACTGTGTTTTAGAACTGTAATAAGTAGAGGTTGATTTGTTAACATGAAGGGGTAAATACCTTTTCCAAGACATTCTGACCTCTAATACTGGACCAAAGAGTTTAAGATGCAGTTACTTTGTTTTTGTATCCATATTTAGAGAGAATATACTCACAAAGTCTCAGCCCAGCGATATGCTTTCCATACATTTTTGTCAATGTAGGATATAGCGTTCCCTTGGAAATTTCTGTAAAGAAGCACAGTTCATATCCTTGAATAGATAGGAACACAATGAACAGAACAAGGAAAACACTCGTAGCAACTTCATGGGGATATTGAATATGGATATTACTACCAGCTTTCTAGTTTCTAGAGCTTCACCTGATGGCAGGCACAATTAAGAAAGAAGAACATGGGGTCCTGGCACAAACATTGAGGTGTCACTTCAGAAGCTTAACTTCCTCTTTGTGCAATCTCTTTGATAGATAATGCCAATCAGTTGCATTTGAGGGACATACTGCCTCCAAAATGCCCTGGGTGTCTAAACTGGTCCTTTTGCAAATCAGTAAGAAAATAATTCAGCTGAGAACAATGGATCAATTTATCTTCAGCAGCAAATAAGAATAAAGAAACTCCAACGTACAGTAATTCTAACACTTTGGCCAAGTACCTTCTACTGCAATTATTCTACCTACGTGAATGGACATGGACAATGCAAAATCAGATGGACTAATGCGTTGACACGAATGGGTCACTGGCCATAGCCATGGTGAGGGATGGAAAAATCAAATGACTGAGCCAGGAGCAAAACATCACCTCCCTCAGGGAAAAGTGCAAGGGAGAGAAACTGGAAGGAGGGACACATATCCTCATGGAGATGGGAGTGACTTATGGATAGTGGAGTAGAGAGGATAGGATGATAAAGGGTGTGGGGGTGTAGATTCTGATATTTTTCTCTTTGTTCCATGATCCTTTGGCAAAGTAAGAATGTACCCATGAATCATCCACATTCCAAAGCAATCTTAAATACTGTAAGTTTCAAGTCTGGGTAACTTTGAGTCTTTACCTGTGCTTCTGTCTTCACTCCATCATCAACAGTGCACCTGCATGGCTTATGTACAACACGGTTGTACCTGCGTGTTCTGCCTGGTGGACATTCCCATTCAACCAGAAGGCTTTGCTCTATGTTCACCAACATAAAGTATTAAAACTGAACACACCTCCCTCAGATTGCCTCTCCTTTCTGATTGCTGTCTGCACCTGTGAGGCCACTCACTCTCACCAGCACCCAGGACAAAGCTTGCAGTCATATTTTTTCTTCTGTGCATACATCCACCCACCAGCCTTTGATCAGTTTCTAGGTCCATCCGGCCTTTTTCATCTCAGGGACTTTCTTTTCATTCCTATCAGAGCTGGTGACTTGGTCTCATTCTCATTTTATTCCTTGATTTTACTAGAGGTCTTTTTTTTTAATGTCCCTGAAGTAAGCTTTCCTCTCTAGATGACTCTCCATATAGTGTCTAAAATCATATTTCTGAAACAGGCATTTGGCCTAGTAACTAAAACACATCTCACGTCAGAGTGCCTGGGCTCCTACCCGGCTCCAGTTACTGACTTCAGCTTTCTGCCCACACACACCCAGAAGGTAGTGGAGCTGGCTCCAATAGCTGCCCTCCTGCCACCCTCATGGCAGACCTGGGTTGGGTTCTTAGCCCACTTTGACCAACCCAGTGCCTGCTGTTCAGGCATTTAGAGAATGAACTAGCAAATGGAAACTCTCTCTCTGAATCTGTCTCTCTGCCTTTTGAGTAAATGCACAGAAAAAAATTAAGACAATGATCAATTTCTTTTAAAATTTTTAAAAATAATCTTTCTGTTGGGCCCGGCGCCGTGGCGCAGTGGTTAAGGTCCTTGCCAGGCACGCCCGGGATCCCATATGGGCACCGGTTCTAATCCCGGCAGCCCCGCTTCCCTTCCAGCTCCCTGCCTGTGGCCCGGGAAAGCAGTCGAGGACGGCCCAAAGCTTTGGGACCCTGCACCCGTGTGGGAGACCCGGAAGAGGCTCCTGGCTTCGGATCAGCATAGCATCGGCCCGTTGCGCTCACTTGGGGAGTGAATCATCGGACGGAAGATCTTCCTCTCTGTCTCTCCTCTCTGTATATCCGCCTTTCCAATAAAAAATAATAATAATAAATCTTTAAAAAAAAAATAATCTTTCTGTTTTGATCACCTCTCTCTTGCTTGAAAACTTTCAGGGTTTTCTGCAGCTCATAGTATAACTCTGAAACCCCTGTAGCTGATATTCAAGGTTGTTCATTTAATATCTTTCATTGCTTTGTAAGTCAGTTCTTGGCAGACAAGCTGTCTACTAAGCCTTGCTGATTCCAATAGTCAAGGGTAACAGGTCAGGCTGTCAGGATGCTGGCATCCCATACATATGTGGGTACCGGTTTGATGACCAGCTTCTCCACTTCCTATCCAGCTCCCCACTAATGTGCCTGGGAATACAGTGGAAAATGGCTCAAGTGCTTGGGCCCCTGAACCCACACAGGAGACCCAGAAGAAGCTCTTGCTCCTTACCTTTGGCCTGGCCCAGCCCCAGCCATTGTGGCAATATGAGGAGTAAAGCAGCAGAAGTAAGATCACTTTTTCTAGATCTCTCTTCTTGCTGTAATTCTGCCTTTCCAGTAAATCTAGTAGTTTTTTTTTTTAAGAGAAGGAGAAGGAAAGGTGACAAGAAAAATGTCACAATAGGAAGTCAGGAAATACAGGTTGAGTCAGGAGGAAGGCCCAGCAAGGTACTGAGCAAAAGGCTACCATGACAGACAAGATCTAGAGAACTCTGAGGAAGGGTAGTTCTTACAAGATGGTGAAGGTGTCATTGTGGGCACTGAAGGATCCTGGCACAGGCACTTGGTGGAGCTTCTGCCACGGGCTGAGATTGGTACATGACAGCATTCCATTTTTGCAGGTACAGAGCTCGCAGATGTCCGTGCTGTTGGGGGTGCTTTCTTTTGACTCAATGAAAGTAGTTAGCCGGGTAGCATACTCAGCAGCCTTGACTTCAGGATACAAAGTTGGAAACTGCCCTGCAGGTGGAGCTGTAGTCTTCAGGATTTTAGAAGGGCCAACCTCTGGAGCAGGGACTGGAGCTTTGATAGGCTCCAACTCTGAAGGCTGACCCGTGACTCGGGAATCTGAAGGCTGACCCGTGACTCCGGTTGATGTTGCTACAGTTACTATATCACTAGTTGGCTCTGGTGGCCGAGTTAGAGTAACCGAAATAGTTGTAGGCTTGACCTCTGTAGATAAATTGAGAGGATTGCCTGTGACTTGTTGAGTCTGGCTCCGGTCTGTATATGTAGGTGGCACCTCAGAATGCCTTGGAGGTGCTGCTGCTGTAGTCTCCAGGGCTGTAGACTGTTCAGCCAACGTGGTGGGTTCTGGGATTTTGAAAATTTCTGTCTTCACAGCTTCAACTGTGACACTGACTGGCACTATATGCTGAATTGGAGCTACAACCTCCAATGGAGGCTCTGGAGGCTGAGCTGAGGTCTTCTGCAGGGCTGGAGATGATTCAACTTCCGCAATTCTGGATTGAAAAGCCAGCTGAATATCAAACGCCTGAACTGTGACTTCAGTCAGGTTTGGATGCTGCGCCTGAACCAGCTCTGCCTGTGGAAGTGTCACCTCAGGGACACCTGGAGGTGGTGTTTTGGCATTCCTCGGGGCTGTAGAATGTTCGACCTCCACAGCAGGACTCGGGTTTAGATGCTGAGTCAGAATTGCATCTGGACTCGTTCCTGTAGGTTCTTTCAGGGCGGTTGCATGCTCAGCCTCTGCAGTGGGTTCTGGACCATTGGTAGGTGTAGGTGGTAGGTTCAAGGTCTGATCTGTGACACTGGGTGTCACTGGAGGTTGAGGTGGAGCTGGCGTTGGAACGGCCACCTCTTGCAACACTGGAGGTTGAGCTCCCACCTCTGTAGATGGCTCTGTAAGCTGCACAGGGGTCTCCTGAGTGGTTGGAGCCTGGTCAACCTCTATATTGAGTTCTGGAGTTGGGGTATTTCCCAGGTCCCAATGTGCAACTGTGACCTTGGGCAGGGCTGCATGGTGAGTCTGGACCTGGTCTGGATGTGAAATCTCAGAGTCCAGAGTTGTTGTGGTCTTCAGGGCTGTAGAATGTTCAGCCTCCACACTGGGTCCTGGAGTTATAGTCAGCTGCAGCTTCAAAGGCTGAAAGGTGACCCTGGGTAATATTAGATACGGAGCCTGTTCCTGAGCTGGTTTGGGGACCGTTGCCTCCTCATCTACAGATTCTTGAAGTGGCTCTGGAGGTTGGGTTAGGGGCTCCGAAGAAATGACACCCTCTGTAGTAGGAGATGGAGTCAGGTAATATACTTGGGGTTGGCTTTTGGAACCCACAGTCATTTCCGGATGTTGAGCGGACACTTTCAGCCGTGGTGGAGACGGAAGGGTGATCGGAAGGGCCTCCAGGGGTTCAGCTGGAGATTCCCATTCTGTAGGGATAGGCTCTATCTCCTTAGGGGAAGCTGCAGTCTCATCCATGGCCTCTGGCTCAGCTGCAGAAGGTAAGGCTGGGTAAGGCTCAACCTCTGAAGGTGAAGTGAAGGTGACCTCAGGATCTACTGACTTATCCATACTTGTGGAAACTGTTGAGTGGTCACCTCCTTTCAGGAGTGTCAGGTCCAGCTCATTGTTCCCCGAGGCCTGAGCTGCAACTTCCTGTTGGCTTGAAAGTTATAGCCTCGGTCATGGTCTCTGCAGGGTTAACAGACACACTCGGCAATGTTGGAGACTGACCTTCAGGAGGAACTGTCGCCTCATGAGACTCTGCAGGTGGAGATTTCACTTCTTTGGTCTCTGACACCGGAGCTGGAGCTTCCTGCTGGGCTGGAGACAGTCTGATTTCCTCAGATGAGGGTTCCTCTTCCTGAGGTACCACCTCCGGCGAAGAAATAGACTCAACCTCTTCAAAAGCTTCTGGAGGCGCAGCTGGGGCCTCAGGCTGAGCTTCAGCATTGTGCTTTATTGGCAAGCCATCTTCTGTATCTGCTTGCATTGTATTCTGCAAATGTGCAGGTTTAGCAGCCATACTGGGTAAGTCCATGTGTTGTTGCCAGTGGTGGCGAGCTGAAGCTATGAATATTTCCTCCTGGTGCTCTGGAGGCTGAACTGTGTCCTCCCCAGGCTGGCCTTTAGGAGATTCAGCAGGTCCAATGGACTCGGATGGCTGAGCAAACTGTTCCTGCTGGCCTGGAGAAGGTTCTGCCTCCAACGAAGGCTCAGCATCCTGAGTTGGCTGTTCCAGCTGGGTGGGAGGAGATGTGACCTCCACAGAAGGACGTGCACTCTGAGCTGGGGTCACCTGGTGGCCTGGAAGAGATTCTGTTCCCACAGATGGGCCTGGAGCGGGAGGAATTGGGGCCACCTGCTGGCCTAGAGGTTCCACCTCCACTGAAGGCTCAGCATACTGAGCAGACTCCTCTTGATTACTCGGGAAAGGCTCTAGGTCTACAGAAGGGCCTGGAGTCTGAGCTGGAGCCTCTTGTGGGATTGAGGGAGGGGATTCCCCTTGCGAGATCCCTGCAGGCTGAACTGGGGCCTGCAGCTGGCCCAGAGTACTTTGAACTTCACCACCTGGCTGTAGCGTAATTGTGAGCATCACATCCGCTGGCCTCCCTGTGATGCTTGGCAAAGTAGATTGCAGCGGTGGACGTGGAACACTGATCTCGTTTTGAACAAGCTGCCGGACAGC